ACCATCATTACTACCATCACCACCACCACCATCATCACCATCACCACCACCATCATCATTACCATCACCATTATCATCACCACCACCATCACCACCATCACCACCAACACCACCACGATCACCATCACCACCACCACCATCCCCATCATCACCATCATTACTACCATCACTATCACCACCATCACCACCCTAACCACCACTATCACCATTATCATCACCACCACCATCACTAATACCATCACTACCACCACCATCATGGCAAAACCTGGCAAGCTCCCCGTGACATATTCGATATGCCCAAAACAGTAGCAACAGGTCTCACAATGGAGACGTTACTGTGCCCGCTCGAGAAAAATCAATGAACAACAGGAGGACAGTGCTACCACCACCATAATCACCTCCATCACCACTATCACCACCACCATCCCATCACCATCACTACCCCTCTATTACCACCATCACCATCACCATCACCATCACCATGTCATCATCACCATCAACCATTACCATCACCACTACCACCATCACCATCACCATCACCACCATCACCATCATCACCACTAACATTACCACCACTATCACCACCACCATACCACTACTACCATAGCCACCACCACTATCACCACCATCACCTTCACCACCACCGTACACCCCAACTCTTCTTCTCTAGTTCTTCCCAAACCCCATTTTCTGACACAGTTCAAGGTTTGCCCACAAGAGCAGTGCTGGAACTCCTGGAAGCACCACCCTCTGTGGAGGGGCTATGCTGGGCACGGTGTCAATTCACTGGGCTTTTTTGCCTCTGAGAGCCACCAGTGTGGGGTGCATCTCCCCAGTTGTGACAACAGGAAGTGCCTGGTGACATTCCAGCATCCCTGAGGGGCTGAGCCATTCTCTCCCCACACATAGGGCTTTTATCACTCCCCTTCAGAGTCCAAAGGGTTCCAGTGGTTCCCTCCTGAACGGGCTCTTTCCTGCCCTGAGCCAACAAGACTCCTTGTACTTCCTGCAAAACATCTGTCTCCCCTTCTTCCCGCTGGGCTCATGCTACCCAGCTTTCTCTCATTCTCTATCGAAGAATCTCCCTATCCTTTAAGAATTAAACTGAACATCACCTCCTACAGGCAGTCCTTCCTGGTCAACAGTCGGCCAGAGAAACTAGCTCTCCCTCCCCCAACTCATGTATTCTGTGGCCTTTCCCCAATACCCAGAGGGACCGTTATCTGTGTCAGCTTTGCTTCCTCGAATGTTGGAGAGGGGACCATGTGATGCAACAGAAGGCGTATCTGCTGGCTGGCAGGGAACCCTGGGCACAAGCCAGAAGGTCTTTGCTTTTGTCTCTGCAGAGCAACCGACTAATTCAGAAGGTCTGCATTGGCGAGAACAATGTGATCGAGGAAGAAATGAGAGTGAACAGAAGCGTGCACGAGTGGGCAGGAGGGGGCGGAGGAGGGGGCGGAGCCACCTACGTGTTTAAGGTGAGGGCAGCCGCACCAGCTGGGCATCACCGCCTCGGAGCTCCCAGGAGCCCGACACCCAAAGACAAGGAAACAGAGGCCCAGGAGCATGTCCCCTCCTTGGGGACCCAAGAGGGCCGGTTCTCTCTGGCCCGTGCCACCGCTTTCCGCACCCACCCACCCTCACTTCCTGTCCAGAGACCCCGCATAGACACCCTCCTGGTCTCACATGGTGGCCAGAGTGGATGCCAAAGGCCAAGGCTTCCAGCGACCCCACCCCAACACAGACACAGGAGTGCAGGGCAGGTGGAGGCAGAGGGCCCTGAGAATGGGGGACAGGACTCCTTGGAGAAACTTGCTCTGAGCCCCGTGGCATGCTCCAAGGCCCATCTCGGAAGCTTCTGGAAAGGGGCTGAGTAAGCAGAAACCCTGCCCCTGGGGTCCGTCATCTCCTAAGACGAGTAAATCCCCTGGTGTTTTTGCTTCTCCGATGGAGCCTCCGACCAGCCTGGGGGGCAGTGGGGAGCTGATAAGGGTCAGCACAGGAGCTCAGAGGCTCAGACCACCGCCCGGCCCATAACCCGGGAAACCCACTGGGTCCCGCCCAATGTCTTCCTGCAGATGAAGGACGGGACGCCCGTGCCCCTGATCATCGCGGCCGGCGGTGGCGGACGGGCCTACGGGGCCAAGAAATACACCTTCCACCCCGAGAGGCTGGAGAACGACTCCCTGGTGCTGGGGCTCAACGGCTTCTCCGGAGCCGCAGGTAGGGTTCGCAGCCTCACCTGCTTCCAGAACCTTCTCCAGGACTGTGAGATCCTTCTTGGGGACTGGAACCCCTGGACAGCGTGGGAGCCTTGGTTTCTGGTCTGAGGCACAGGCTTGGGTGGGCCCCAGGAGGACAACCCAGAGAACGTGACGGGGTTGGGAGCAGCGCCCACCCCACCCTGCAGAAGCCAGGGTGCAGGCGGGCCTCCCTCCCGGGGCTACGGGCTGCCTACCTCCGACACCCACTTCTCACAGGCAAGTCCTTTCTGGAATCTCCATCCTCGGAAGCAGCCAGCAGCCCGGGGCACCCCGCAGCGAGGGGACCCGCCTTTATGCCAGCTCTTTCTGTGGGTCTTGGCTGCAGCCAGGCACACCAAGCTCCCTATCACCCCTGGAGGAAGAGTGTCTGCAGAGAGCAGGGGGCCACCAGCTCCAGCGGCCTTCCCAGAGCCTTGGCTCAGGGTCGCTTCCACACCCCCAGACCCTAAGACCTCGCCCCACCACCAATCCTACACAGCCACACCCCACATGACCCTGAACGGCCACCTCCAAACCTGCGCCCTATGTGACCACACGTCCTTCGCCCTTCACGGGCACACCCCGCTCAGGTCAGCTCCTGGACAGCGGCAGTGTTCAGCCCTTCACCCACAAAGACCCTCCAAGCCTGTGCAGAGATGCTGGGTTAGGGGGACGCAGGGGCGACGGCACACCCCCACCCAGGGGACGGGCCAGGTCAGCTCTGGCTGTCGTTGTGGTGTGGTGTGGTGTGGGTTTCCTGGGGCCTTGTCCCACAAACATTTGCTTAAAAAACATTTGCAGGACTGGGCGGAGGAGTCCAGAGACCTGCGCTCCAGGCAAAGGCGGGGCAAGGGTCCACCTGCCCTCATTTCTCTAGGTCAGATCCCCTCTCTGGCTTCCCATGGAAGATGGGGCTTTCCTCTAGCCTTCCCTCTCCCCCGTCTGGCCGCCTGGCCCCTGGCCCCCACCCTGCTGGTAGCCCCCCGGGGCGCTGGGTGGCTCTGCACCTCCCCCCCTCAACCTGCATGTTGAGTGACTGCCAACGTCTCCTCCCCGCCCCTCTGGGTCCCTCCAGAACCTGCTGACCCTGATGAGGCTCCAGCCCAGCCATTGTTTGTGGGGCCCGTGAAGCTGTCAGAGGAGCCACGTGCAGGGCATGGGGGAGGCGTGGGGTGTCCAGGGCCAGCAGGAGCGCTCCGCGCTCAGTGGCCTGGTTCTGCCTTCTCAGCAGCCCCTACCGTTGTGGCTAGAAGCAACACCCCAGAGGCCTGGCCAAGACCCCCTCCCAGACCCACCCGTTGGCCTTCTGGGACTTGGTGGCTGTCCCTTAGTAGCCGCAGGCCAGGCCCACCCCCAGGTGCAGGTCCGGAGCAGAGGGGGGGCCAGGGGAGGGGCACTGGGGGGTCGCCTGCCGGAGGTCCTGCCCACCCAGTATATTTTTTAAATTTTTATTAGTGAAACACCATGAGGTATAGTCGTGGACTTATAAGTTTTTGTGCTTGGGTTTCAGTTATACAGTGATCGAGTACCCATCCCACCGCCAGTGCCCATTCTCCACCCCCACCAATCCCAGTATTCCTCCCACCCCCCATCCCCCACCCCACCCTGCCTCTGTGGCAGGGCACTCCCTTTTGTTCTATCTCTCCTTTTGGGTGCTGAGGTTTGCAAAAGAGGCGTTGAGTGGCAATCATGTTCGGTCTATAGTCTACTTTCAGCATGCTTCTCCCATCCTGGGAGGATCCTCCCAACACCTTTTATTTGGTGCTCCCTTCTCTATCTGAGCTCCCTTTTCTCCTAGCATGTGCGGCCGGCCTCCAAGCCATGAAGTAAACCTCCTGGTATAAACCTCCTGGTACTTATCTCGGCTATTCTTGGGTGTTACTCTCTTATTTTGTTACTTTATGTTGCCCAGATGAATGCAATCTTTCTGTTTCTGTCCCTCTCTTTCTGACTCATTTCACTTAGCATGATACTTTCCATGGAGTACCACTTGTATATGAATTTCACGACTTCATCTTTTCTAACAGCTGCATAGTACTCCATTGTGAAGATGTACCAAAGTTTCTTTAACCAGTCATCTGTTCTCGGGCACTCAGGTTTTTTCCAGATTTTGGCTTTTGTGAATAGTGCAGCAATGAACATAGAAGTACAGATGTCGTTTCGACTGTAGTTTTTTGCCGCTCTGGGACATATTCCCAGGAGTGGTATTGCTGGGTCAAATGGGAGCTCATTTTCTAAGTTTTGGAGAATCTTCCATACTGTTTTCCAAAAGCCGCCCAGTATTTGAGTTTACAAAACTTTCCACCCGCTCATGGGCGCCTAGTGTCCAGCCCAGCAAGTGACTCTTACTATCCCCCAGTGCGGGACAGCTCACAGGTCAGGAGAGGAAAGCTGTGGCAGGGGTCATCCAGACATAAGCACTAAGACCCTCGGAGGCAGCTTCTTGAGCTCTGAGCTCAGATTCCTGCCAGGACTCCCGTGTCACCTCCTGGCAGTGGCCTTGGCGGGAGTGTCCACTCCCCTGGGCCACCTGCCTCCTCCCGTCCCCCTCTCCATGCCGGGAACCTTTCCGAGTGGTGGTCTCGGAGGGCAAAGGGCAGCTCCTGGTTTTCCCAGCCGTGTGGGGGCCCCAGGAGGCCTTGGGCACTAGCCGGGAGCAAACCCCCGAGAAGCCCCCCGGCCCTGGGGACCCGCTCTGAGGGTGACCCGTGGCCGTCTCTCCCTGCAGGTGGCGGCGGTGGCTGGAGTGACAACACCTCCTTGGTGTGGTCGGGGAAGTCGTTGCTGGAGGGCGCCACCGGAGGACATTCCTGCCCCCAGGCCATGAAGAAGTGGGGGTGGGAGACCAGAGGGGGTTTCGGAGGGGGTGGCGGGGGGTGCTCCTCCGGTGGAGGAGGCGGAGGATACATAGGTAAAGAGCATTCTCGTTCAAGGTGTCTCCCCCACCCCCTAGTCCTAGCCGCCCCCGTCCCCGACCCTCGCTGCCCCATGTGGACTGGTGGTCCCGCCCCCCGCACGCCTTGTGAGCCCACGACCCCCTCCCGCCTCCTTGTCAGCGGCCACCTCGGACCCCTGCGGGCCTTGGTCTCCTGCCAGGCCTGTGGCTGTTCTCTGAGCCGCCCCCAAGGACGCACTGGCATGCCATCAGCCCTGGGAAGCCGGACCCCCGCCCCCCATCCCCACCCCACGCCCAGACCCTTCTCGCTCCCTGTCCCCACCTCCAGAAGGGTGCCCCTGCTGGCCGGGCCGGGCACTGCTCCTGCGGGTGGCTTCCACTGCCCACACAGGCCCCCCGGAGGGCTGCGGAGCAGAAACAGAGGCCTTCTGGAGGGAGGGGGCTTGGAGAGCGGGCTCCCCTGCCCCCCAGATGAGGGCTCCATGCATGCACGCACGTGGTGTTCTGTCTGTCGTTTGCTTCCCGCTGTGTGTACGATGCTGTGGAACTCGGGGTGTGTGGGGAGGATTGGGGGGGGATGCACGAGACAACTCAGAGCCCTGCTGATAAGGAGGGATGGGAGCCTGAGGCACAGGGGCCCACCCACCCCAGCCCTGACTCAGGGGGGAAACCAGACCCAGGAGCCTAGAATGTTCCTGAATGTTCCGAGTCACCACTGCACTAGCTATACATCTTGGTGGGAGCTGGCCTGGGCCTGAGCCCACCCCCATCGGGCAGCCCCTGGGCTCGAGCCTCCCCTCCCTCCCACACCCCTTCCCCAGGGCCCCACCCCACCCCCCATCCTACCGGCCCACCACCCCCACACCCACCTTGGCTTCCTCTCTTTCCGGGTTTGCCACAGGTGGCAACGCAGCAGCCAGTAACGACCCCGAGATGGACGGGGAGGACGGGGTGTCCTTCATCAGCCCGCTAGGCACCCTCTACACCCCTCCTTTGAAAGGTACCCCTCTGCTGGGGACATCACGACCAGGGGGGTCTGGCTGGGCGCTCCGGCTTCAGTGGAGACCCTCACGGGCGGGGATCATCCCAGTGCACTTGCCAGAAGCCAGGCCTAGGGCGGTGCTCCTGGCAGTGGACATGACCCCTCGGTCCGGGGGACCAAGCCCCCAGCTCCTTCAGAGTGTCATCCATATGGATGGGTGCCATGAGTCTGGGTGCCCCTCACAGATGCACCAGGAACTCCAAGCACCATGGACCAGCACCCAGGGGTGAGGGTAGGGTGCGTGGTGGAGGGGGGGGGTTCTCTGGGGCTCGGGGCTGAGCCTCCCTCCTTGTCCCCAGTGATGGAGGGTCACGGGGAAGTGAACATCAAGCACTACCTCAACTGCAGCCACTGCGAGGTGGACGAGTGCTACATGGACCCCGAGAGCCACCACGTCATCTGTTTTTGTGACCACGGGACCACGCTGGCCGAGGACGGGGTCTCCTGCGTGGGTGAGGTGGGGAGGGTGCCGCAGGGTCCCTGTTCCGGGGAGTGGGGCCAGTTCCTCAGCCTCTGCTGCAGCCTGGTGCCGCGGACACATGATGAGAATAAGCAAGGCCCGCTTGCTTATCTGCGCTGGCATCCCTGCTAAAATGCAGTGTCCAGAAGCACAGGACACCCCAGGGACCGTCAAGGTCTGGGAATGGGGAAGGGGACTCAGCCTCACTCCGGCACGGCCCAGCACACGCTGGGGAGGCACCAGCTGGGTGTACGGTCACTAGGAATCTCTTCCTGAGCTCCCCGACTCATCTCCCCCCCTCATTCCATCACTGTGTGGCCAATGGTTGGCTCAGAGTCCAGAATCGGAACTGTGTCCCTCTCAGACTGCTTCTGCTCTGTCCCCTGAAGAGGAGCTGGCAAGAGTCCAGGGACAAGAAAGGCCTGGGGCAGGAGGGCTGGGGGGCATTTCAGGCTCAGAGACCCCTCAAATGGTAGCCAATGTGGTCCTTGGGGTGCCCCTTGGGGTCCTGTCTTCCAGTGTCGCCCACCCGGGAACCCCACCTGCCGCTCTCGCTCATCCTCTCTGTTGTGACCTCTGCTCTCGTGGCTGCCCTCGTGCTGGCCTTCTCCGGCATCATGATCGGTGAGTGCCCAGACCTGCCCCCCTGAGAGCTGCAGGGGGCAGGGGTGGGGGGGGGGTGGAGTGGTTAGGGAGGGGGCTGCCGTTTGCCATTCCCTGCTCTGAGCTGCTGGGGGCCATGCTAGGAGAATCGCCCCGGGCTTCCTCCTGTCTCTGGACTCGGGGGTCACTCCTGGCAGCGTTCAGGGGACCCTATGGGGTGCTGGGGATCCAACCTGGGTCAGCCACAGGCCAGGCCAGCGCCTTCCCCGCTGTACAATTGTAGTTTGAACCCAGCTTCAAATCACAGCCCCATACGGAGGGGATGTAAGTGAGTGGGAAGAGTCGCAGGACTTCTGTGCTCAAATAAACTTCTGATTGGTAAATGTTTGCTTTGTAGGCATAATTTTATGCCCTGGGGTGCAAAATGTCTCTGCCAAAAGATTTCCTGGTAGATTAGGGGCCATCGGGGGGATGGGGGGTGGGAGGAGCTTTCTAGGGGTGCCCAACTCCAAACCTCAGGCTCATGGCAGCGAGTGGAGGCACCTTCCCGGGGAGCGGGTCCCCCTGGCTCCACCAGACACCCTCTCAGTGCTTCTGTGCCCCGTGGGCTCTGCTCAGTCCTGGAGGGGATCTCGGGACAAATGCAGTGCCGGGGATTGAACCTGTCTTGTAAGTGGCGAGTAAGATTGCCCGCTGTCCAGTCTCTCCAGCCCGACACTAGCTTCTTTAAAATCTTCTCTGGAGAGGCTGGAGTGATCATACAGCGGGTAGGGTATTTGCCTTGCACGCAGCCGACCCGGGTTCAATCCCTGGCATCCCATATGGTCGCCCAAGCACTGCCAGAAGTAATTCCTGAGAGCAGAGCCAGGAGTAACCCCTGAGCAACCCACACCCCTGGGTGTGATGTGACCCAAAATGCAAAAAAAAAAAAAAAATCTTCTATGGAAAGTGCACTTCCGGGGCTGGGGCCTAGCGTGCTTCCTCTAAGGGGCCCTAGCATCGGGGACGCAGCTCTGAGGCCCCCAACACTACCAGGTGTGGCCCTGGAGGCCCCCAGCAGTAGTGGGGTGGCCCAGGAAACCCCTGACCCCACAGAGTCTGAGCAGCAACACATCCTGTGGACCTTGGCACTGAACTGCAGGCCCAGGGGACCCAGCGAGCGTCACCGTGGGGTTCCCCAGGCTTCCTGAGCACTGCTTTGGGACCCCCCTCACTAAAGAAATCAATCAGTGTCCAGTCTCAGCAAGATCATCATTTCGTCAGTATTGTCACCTGCCCGTTCCAATCCATGACCATCCCCCAACGTGAGGGAACGTGGAGAACTCAGGAGCCAGATCCAGGAAAGCTTCCTGGAGGAGGTGGGCCCTGCTGGCCTTCAGAGGCTCGGCTGCCCCCTGTCTGTCCCCAGTGTACCGCCGGAAGCACCAGGAGCTGCAGGCCATGCAGCTGGAGCTGCAGAGCCCCGAGTACAAGCTGAGCAAACTCCGCACCTCCACCATCATGACCGACTACAACCCCAACTACTGCTTTGCCGGCAAGACCTCCTCCATCAGCGACCTCAAGGAGGTGCCCCGGAAGCACATCACCCTCCTCCGGTGAGTGCTGCGGCCCCACTTCCTGGGGGAGCAGAACCGCTGCTGAGTGAGTGAGAAGGAGAAGGAGACCCTCTCCCTGGGCGCAGGCATGGAGCAGGGACGGGGGCTGAGAGGCGGGGCAGAGGGACCTGGAAGGATCTCCCAAGTGGGCGTCAGCACCTGGGGCCCAGGAGTGTGGACAGGATGGAGACGAGGGTCTGGTTCCCTTTTTCGTGGGAAACCTTAGTCCCTGAGGAAGCACATCACCCTCCTCTGGTGAGTGCTGCAGCCCCACTTCCTGGGGGAGCAGAACCAGGAAGGTTCTAGAAGGCTGGATGTCACCCCAAGCACCACAGACTCAGCTGAGCTCATCCTCCCTCGGAGCACCCCATCTCCCCCCCCCCAGGGAAAGGGCCGGATAACACCAGCACCCTTGGGAGGTGCATGGCAGCCCCTCTCAGCACCCCATATTTTCACGGCAGTTATGCCATGAGAGAGACAGAATGAGCCGGAACTTCCACGCAATCATTCAAACTCCCTCTCCCCATCCCCTGGAGATGGAGCCCGATGCTCCCCTTCCCAGTGGTCCTCCCCTGAGCATCCCTCTGAGTGTCTCCCAGCCCCAGGGCCTCTCCTGCTAGGGCCAGGGAAGTGGCACAGACTCAGGGAACTGTCACCCCAGCCGGCCCCGGGTCGTAGAGCCAGAGTTAGGCGTCCTCAGGGGTGCTGGGAACTTTCTAGACAGTGCAGAAACCAAAGGGTGGCCAGGTAGCAGAGCAGGCCTGGCCCGGGAGGCTGCTCTGCTGTGTGGAGGGACACGAGCCATGCCTGGGCCTCTCTCCCGGTCGCCCCTCGCATCAGCCCACACTCTGCCCCACAGAGGCCTGGGACATGGCGCCTTCGGGGAGGTGTATGAAGGCCAGGTGTCGGCCGTGCCCGGCGACCCCAGCCCCCTGCAGGTGGCTGTCAAGGTAAGAGGCGGCGGCTCCCTGGACCTGAGCTGGGCCTGCTGTCTCGGGGGTCCTGGGCTGGCCTGACCCACCCCTCACCCCTGTGCCCAGACGCTGCCGGAGGTGTGCTCAGAACAGGACGAGCTGGATTTCCTCATGGAAGCCCTGATCATCAGGTAAAGCCGCCCCCGGACACCCTCCCCGCTCGCGGTGTGGGGACATCTCGACACACGGGTGTCTCCGAGGGAAAGCTGTGCTCCCCAGATCTCTCCAGAGGGGACCAGCCCCGATGATTGTCTCGGGAGAAAGTAACGAACCCACTCCATCAGGACCCTAGCGATCCAGCTGATAAATGCTGCCGTTGGTTGGTGTCGTCTGTGAGGCCATCCCCAACTCAGGGGACAATGGCAGGGAGCTAGCGGTGGCAGGGACCCAACTCAGGGCCTCCGCCCCATGAGACTCTCCCAGTCCCCGGCACGCCAGGGAGAAGTTAAACTAGCCTCTGGATGACTCCCCTGCCAGGTCCCTCGGGTGCCGGGTACAAGAGAGGGCCCCTCGCCTGGTGGGAGGGCACCCCCGGCCCCTGCTGCATCTCCCTCTAGGGTCCCAGTCTCATGGGGAACCTTAGTCCCTGAGGCTCCTGACAGCCCCTCGCCTCAGAAGGATAAACCTGCCTCGGTGTGGGGGCTGGAGTGATAGCACAGCAGGTAGGGCATTTACCTTGCATGCAGCCAACCGGGGTTCGATTCCCAGCATCCCATATGGTCCCCTGAGCACCGCCAGGAGTAATTTCTGAGTGCAGAGCCAGGAGTAACCCCTGTGCATTCCCGGGTGTGACCAAAAAAAGCAAAAAAAAAAACAACCCTGCCTCAGTGCACGCAGCCAGCTCCACATCTCACTGTAGCCGTCACTCATTTCCCCAGTTATACACATGGTTCATGATGATGGCAGAGAGAAGATTCCAGCACTCGAGCTCCCCATGGAGATAGCCCCGTCCCCACCGTTATAACCTGGGTCTCAGCTCCAAGCGCCCACCTAGAGGCACCTGGCCCCTGGCCCCGGGGGAGGTCAGAGCAGAGAGGAAGCTGGTGTGGGGTCCATGTTCCTCTCCCTGCTCTCTGCTTGACCGCTCCCCAAAAGCAGTCGCTCCAACACCTGCCTGAGCTCAGCCAGGAACCCTAGTGAGCAGCCCATGCACTGAGACCCCAGAAAGCCGTGGGATGCTCTCCAGGCCCGGACCCCGCACACTCACCCTGCAGGACCCACTCCTCCTGAGGATGCAGCCTGGAGAGCCTCCCTCTGGTTTGGGCCCCACCTGGGAGTCCTGCAACCCCCCTTTTCGACAGGCGTGTCCCTGAGGGGGCTGCTTGGAGGGTAACTGAATGCCCAGTCTCGCTCTCCATGCCAACTTCCCCCCCCCCCCGCCCCCGCTCCACAGCAAATTCAACCACCAGAACATCGTCCGCTGCATTGGGGTCAGCCTGCAGGCCCTGCCTCGGTTTATCCTGCTGGAGCTCATGGCAGGAGGAGACCTCAAGTCCTTCCTCCGGGAGACTCGCCCTCGCCCGGTGAGTGAGGAGACCCTCTCCCTGGGCGCAGGCATGGAGTAGGAATGGGGGCTGAGGGGCGGGGCAGAGGGACCCGGAAGCATCTCCCAAGTGGGCATCAGCACCTGGGGCCCAGGAGTGTGGACAGATGGAGACGAGGGTCTGGTGGCCTCGAACAGGGCATGGACCATGGACCAAGTCAAGCCCACCTCCATGACTTGCTGATTCTGGAAGTTGAGTGGGACGCTTGTGCCGGCCGCTAGCCCAGCCAGCTGGACCCCGCGCACTCTCAGCTCCCCAGGGCCAGCCCGACCTTGGGAGTTTCCTAGAAAATCTCAGCACTGAAATATTTCGGAGGGTGCGAGGCTGAAGGCCTGACATCTACCCCAGGAAGGGCCAGGGAGGCGCATGGCTGTTCCATTAGCGTGACTGACTAGTCCCACAGGAGCTGGGAACCGAGACATCATTGCGCCTCCATGGACCTGTTTTCTGGCCTGGAACAGCAGAGTGAGGGTCTGCCAGGGACCCAGGAAAGAACCCTCAGAGGCCCCGAACACCTGGCGGGCCCTGGGGGCAGGAAGGCTCCCTCGTTGACTCCTGGGTGCATTTCCGTGCAGAGCAAATGCTCTGGGGAAGCCTGTGGTGAAGAGCCTGAGGGAACCCCGGAATTCCCACAGGGGGCGCTGATTGAACTCGACTGAGCCTGCTTCGGGAACTCTCTCTGTCTCTGTGTGTCTCTCTGTCTCTGTGTCTTTGTGTCCCTGTCTCTCTGTCTCTTGTCTCTTGTCTTTCTGTCTCTCTCTGTTTCTTGTCTTTCTGTCTCTCTCTCGGTCTTTCTGTCTCTTTCTATCTCTGTGTCTCTCTGTTTCTCTGTCTCTGTGTTTTTCTCTGTTTCTCTCTCTGTCTCTGTTTCACTCTCTGTCTCTGTTTCTCTCTCTGTCTCTCTGTTTCTCTCTCTCTCTCTCTCTCTCACATACACACACACACACACACACACACACACACACACACACACATTCTAATGGGTGCCAGAGCAGACTGAGTAGCGAGTGGAGTGGAACCTTTACTCTGAGTGGCTGAGCACAGGAGTGCGCAGAAGCATGGCCCGCGGCTCCTTCCCTGCAGAACCCGAGGCACAGGGAACCTTTGCCACATCCGTGCACATTCTGAATCAGCAAAGGGCTCAGCCCAGATCCAGGCAGCTAGCAGACACGTTTCCTCTATCTCTTCCCTGAGGACAGAAAGCGTTATCCTGACGAGAGAGGAAAATTAAGTGTTTCTACTGTGAGGGCCACAGCGATCTATTTCCCTTGGAAAGGTGCAGCTCCCCCTTTCCCCGAGGGTCTCTGGACAAGCCAAAGGCAGCGACTCTTTCTCAAGAACCCCCAATTCCCTGGTAAATCCATGCGCCAGCGCTGATGCCAGCCTTGAGCTGCGTGCCTTGGAGAGGTACAGTGTTCCCTCCGTGCTTCCCTTCCTGGGGCCGCACTGACCGGTGACACCATGTGGGGAGGATGGCAGAGCAGTTATAGGTCACAGGGCCTGGTGTGTGTGTGTGTGTGTGTGTGTGTGTGTGTGTGTGTGTGTGTGTGTCCGCGTGTGGTGGGGAAGGGTTGGGGGGAGGGTGGCAGGAGGCGGCCCGGTCAGCTGCCAGCAGCCAGGTAGACTGCTCACCAATTCCACGTGCAGGTTCCCTGTGGAGGTTTGTGTGCAGGTGTTGTGTGCAGGCGCTGTGTGTCGGCTCTGTTATAGACTGTGTGCAGACGCTGTGTGCTCTCTGCTGCCCTACACTCTGTGTGAAAGCTCCGCGTGCAGACCCTGTTCTAGGCTCTGTTAGGCAGGGAGCTCTGTGAAAGCTCTGTATGCAGATGTCGTGTGCAGGGTCTGTTATAAGCTCTGTGTTCAGACCCTGTTCTAGGCTCTGTGTGCAGGTGCTGGGTACAGGCTCTGCACTTGCTTGTGTTCTGAGCACTTCTTGTCTTCCTCCCTCCTTTTCTGACATCCCCTTCCGGGCAGCTCCATTTTCAGCCCCCGAGTCCTGTCTCCCCCACCCCACCTGCTTCCGCCAGGGCTTCCCCCCCACCCACCCCCTCTGGAGTATGGGTGCTTGCAGTGAGTAGCTCAGCCTCTCTGAGCCCTCGTCCTTCTCACCTCTCCCACAAAGGTGATGCCTCTTTCCCACCCACCCGCTGCCCACACAGGATGCTGTTTCCAAGCTGTGGGTCTCGCTCATTGCGTGTGAGGCAGGTGGCGCCCTCCTCTGTGACCTCCCCAGAACGGAAGCAGGAGCCTAGACAGGAGTTCCCTTCCTGCCCCAGCCGACCACTCTATCGCTGCCACGGTACCAGGAGGCCTGATCTGTGGCAAACCCCACCCAGCTTGCCTGGAGGAAATCCCAGTCCAGCCATAATCAATCAAGCCATTCCCCAAATCCACTGATTCAGACAGATGGCAGCATGGGGCTGCATGCCCTGGAGAGGGGTACGGGATCCCAGCCTCCTTGGGGACCCCAAAGCTCACTTGGGGGCAGCACGGTGGAGCATTAAGGACTGCATGATGACCCACTGCTGTAGAGGTGGGCATCCAGGAGTTGAGGGACATCAAAACAGGACATAGGTCCAGGAAGAGACCCAACAGCCTTCAGGAAGCAGGGAAGGGCTGTGCCCAGAGTGGACAATATCATATTTTGCACAAAAGACAAACCACCCAGAAAAGCCTAAAGTCAGTCATGAGCTGCCCCCGTGTTTTCCAAAAAGGTTCTTCTTGTTCAATCCCTCATAGGCAAGCAAGTCGGAAAAAAATAATTTAAAAATATTGTTAGCACTTTAGAGGATCTTTAAAACAACATTATCCCCCTGGGTTTTCCCCACAAGGCGTATTTATGAAGTGGAACTGGAGGGGAGATGGAGGGTTCGGATGTTTATGAAGATTGAGTGAAAGAATGGCAAAAGCAAACGGCCCTTCTCGGGCCTCTAACACGCCTGAAGTGTGCAAACACCACGCCCATCCATCGGAACTACACTCATGGGTTTGGGGTGGGACCCAGGCATCTGTTTTTCTTGTGTGTGTGTGTGTGTGTGTGAGAGAGAGAGAGAGAGAGAGAGAGAGAGAGAGAGAGAGAGAGAATGTAGCTTTATTATCTTTTATTTTATTTTAATTAAGATTGTGTGGTTTACAATACTATTGATAATGGTTTCTCGGGGCTGGAGAGATAGCACAGCGGGTAGGGCGTTTGCCTTGCACGTGGCCGACCCGGGTTCGATTCCCAGCATCCCATATGGTCCCCTGAGCACCGCCAGGAGTGATTCCTGAGTGCATGAGCCAGGAGTAACCCCTGAGCATTGCCGGTTGTGACCCAAAAAGCAAAAAAAAAAAACAATAATAATAATAATAATGGTTTCTCATGCACATCAAAAAGGGTTTTTTAAATTTTTTTCTTTTGCTTTTTGGGTCACACCCAGCGATGCTCAGGGGTAACTCCTGGCTCTGCACTCAGGAATTACTCCTGGCGGTGCTTGGGGGACCATATGGGATGCCGGGGTCGGTCATGTGCAAGGCAAATGCCCTACCCACTGTACTCTTGCTCTGGTCCCCAAAAAGGTTTTTTTAAAGCCCTCAATGCAACTTCTCCTGAGTAGCCAGGCACCTGAATGGAACTTGGGGAGGGGAGACAGGCTCCTTGGGTACCTTGGAAGCTGGTAGTCGAGGTCTTGTCCCCTCGAGCTTTGGTGAGAATATTGGTTCTTCCATTGCAGCACTGTTCACAATAGCCAAAATCTGGAAACAACCCAAGTGCCCTAGAACAGATGACTGGTTAAAGAAACTTTAGTACATCTACACAATGGAATACTATGCAGTTGTCAGGAGAGATGAAGTCATGAACTTTGCTTATACATACATAGACATGGAGAATATCATACTAAATGAAATGAGTCAGAAAGAGAGCGACAGACACAGAAGGACTGCACTCATTTGTGGAGATAAAACAACGTAGCATGAGGCTGACACCCAAGGACTCTAGATACACGGGACAGATAGATTGCTCCATAGCTGGAAGCCTGCCTCATGAGCAAAGGGGAGAAGGCAGCTGGAATAGAGAAGGGATCACTAAGAAAATGATGGCTGGAGGAATCGGTCGGATGGGAGATGTGTGCTGAAAGTAGATAAAGGACCAAACATGATAACCTTTCAGTGTCTGTATTGTAAAACATAATGCCCTAAAGTAGAGAGAGATTAGGGGGAATCATATCTGCCGTGGAGGCAGGGCAAGGGTGGGGAAAGGGGAAGTATACCGGGGATATTGGTGGTGGGGAATGTGCACTGGTGGAGGGATGGGTGTTTGATCATTGTGTGATTGTAACCCAAACATGAAACCTATAACTATCTCACAGTGATTCAATAAAATTTTAAAAGAGAGAGAGAGAGAGAGAGAGAGAGAGAGAGAGAGAGAGAGAGAGAGAATATTGCTTCTGTCTCATGCAGAACCAGCCATCCTCCCTGGCCATGCTGGACCTCCTGCACGTGGCTCGTGACATCGCCTGTGGCTGTCAGTATTTAGAGGAAAACCATTTCATCCATCGGTGAGTCCCCAGTGGCTCCCCCTGCCTTGTGTAAGCTGCTTTAAGCATCTTGGGGACCCACACCTCGAGCCTATGGTTTCACAGACTCTTCTCCAAAAGGTGGTTTGCATGACTTGGCTTCATTTGCCTCTCAGAAGGCAACTTATGTAATCAGGAATTTATTTGCACCTTATGGAAAATGGGTGACATGAAACAGACGTGCCAGTGCTCAGACTTCTGTGGACTGTCCTACATCCAGCCTGAATCTCATGACAGAAGTTTCTAGCCTTGAGTCTTTAAACATTTCCCCCGTCTCTAAAGTGGGGTTCCTTGAGGGTAATTAAAGGAGCTCGTTATTTTCACATTTTCAACAAGGGTCTATTACCAAACCCAAGTTCAGAGGCTCATTTCTCACAGGACAATTTCTAGAGAGTTGATGGGAGAAAAGGGATTTTATTCAGGAACTAGCAACCTGAGATGCAGACTTGTGTCGCTCCCCAAACCCATCTCCCTCTCAGGTTGGAGCCGGGCTCTGTATAGGGCTGGTTGGGAAGTACGTTAGAGGTTAAGGCCATAGACAGAGCAGGGAGTTCTGTGTCAGGGCTGCTGGGGCTGCGTCAGTGGTTAATGTGTCCTTGAAGGAGGATGCTCTGTTCCTTGTGGCCCGGTTAGGCCATCCTCCTCCCAGAGGACCTGCTCTTGGCTCTTCTCCATGGGAAGGAGGAGTCCTTGTGCATGATGAACCTGAGCCATGTCTGAAGAGGGTCTGTTATTTTCTTCCCCGCCCCCCCCCCCATCCTCATGCATAACTGAACCTGGTTCAACATCAAACACTCAGAGCATGATGGGCCAAAGAGATAGTAGAGCAGGTAGGGCCATGCAGCCAATCCAGGCTCTATCCCCGGCAAACATAGGGTCCCCCAAGCGAGGAGTGATCCCTGAGTATAGGGGGGTTATGTCCCAAATCCCACCCGATACCCTCCCAAAAAGCAAACACTCAGAGCATGAGAAGAGCTCTTAGAATTGAGAGGCCAAGCAAAGACCAAGGGAAAAATAGAGAGCGTGTGCAGTGTATACTTGGGTCACAGCTGGCGATGCTCAGGATTTACTCCTGGCTCTGCACTCAGGAATTACTCCTGGCAGTGCTCAGGGGACCACATGGGATGCTGGGGATCAAACCCGGGTTGGCCGCATGTAAGGCAAATGCCCTACCCATTGTACTATTGCTCCAGCCCCAAGATGGAGTCTTTAACACCTGCTCACTACAGAATAACATGGGGCCAGGGCACTGTTCTGGTCATCTTTGTTTAGCTAGGATTTAGTGGGGTTAGCACAAACTGTGTTAGATACCCTGTTTTGAATGGTGTTTGCTCTGGGGCCTGTGGTCCCCGTGGAAAGCCATCCACAGCACAGTGCTTTCCTTATACACGCTGATGTCTTTCTCAGTTGACAGCTTGCTTCTGAAAACTGAAAAGTCCAATCGATTGTGAGGCTCTTTGCAAAGCTCTTTCTAATGATTTCCTTCGGATTGAGTACATTACAATCCGGTGCTCTGATGGGAGTTTGTTAGTCATGTTTTCAAAGAGTACAGAACATGATACAAGTCCAGAGAAGACAATGAAAGTCACCTGATGAGTTAAGGAACAGAACTGCAAAGCAGTCAGAGTGAGTGTGGCTTTCTTCCCTAGTGAAAACAGGGAAATTCAGTCAAGGACGATGCCCACCTTTGATTGCAAGGTGAACTCACTCACTTTGTTTCAGACTTTCACTCTGACCTCCTGAGTTTGGTCTTCAGATATTCCACTTGATTCTAATCCTTTCCAGCTTACCAAAGGTTCGCAACTTACAGTAACAGAAGCTCATAAGGAGTGAGACCAGGGTTTCCTGTCCTGTCCAAAGCTAGACTTCTGCCGCAAGTGTCACAAATGGCTGAAACAGCTAGTTTCTGGCTTCTGATTTCTTGGGAATGGCAAGTAAGAATAGCACGCTGACCGCCAGATTTCTTCAGTGTTACTGCACTTAATTTAAAACAAAACAAAAGGTCAACAGAGAGTTCTGTTGAAGACAGGGACCACTATAGCTTCTTGCAGTCGCTTCTTTTCTCGTCTAGGATTTTCCACAATGCCTGCGACTCATGACCAGTACTTATATACTTGACATATCCCCGCCCCTGAAGTCTGTTATTATGCCCAATATAAACGACAGTTTGGAAACTGATAAATCTGATTGGTGACACCATGACCAATCAGATTATCTAGATAACAACCAATCATATAGGCCGCACAAGGTCCACCCAGATGGTATACAGAGACGTGCTTACCTCCCTCACTCCCACTTCCAAAAGGCCCAGTCTGATATTGCTCTGGCCCTGTTGGTTGTACTCAGAACTTCCTGTCAGTCTCAGCTCTGGGTTTTCTTGGAGTACAGACAAGGCTGTGCTCTTCTTTGGAATCCATCACCTTTCCATCTTTCACTGAGTTTGGGCTCTTGCAGAGAATCTCTTGCTGTGATCGTTTTCGTTTTTTTTTTTCATCTCCACCCATGTCAGTTGGTAAACATGCTCTCTCTCTCTGATGGAGGGAGCTTACCCACCTTCCCTCTGATGTTTCGAAATCTGCTTTGACTGGAGCCAGGGCTCTGTTATTAAAGCTATCAGGATCACATTCTCCCAAACCACCACTTCCGTGTCTATGACTCATTCCTGAAGGTCAGAGTTAGACCCCAGAGTAACTGTGTGTGGCTCCTTTTATCATGTTTTAGAAATGAAATGATCAGAGATCAAATAAAGCCGATATGAATAATCTACTTTTGAAGTTTGACTTCTTGAAGAAAATGTCGAAGCTTTTTTGCTGAAGTAATTAGTAGCAGGGAAGTGTCTCTCACCACCTCACACTGATGAGGAGGTCTGTGGCACACACCCATGACAGGATTACCTCTGCTTCTCCCCCGCTCCACCATATGTGCCCTGGGACTCAACACCTTCATACACATTCACCTTCTGACCTCAGAGCAGAACGCCCTCCTTGGATTCTCAGTTAGATCCCATTTTTCCTAGTAGATCTGTTTTCTTTGGACATGGTTAATGCCATTCTGAGAATGATGTGCCCTACTGTTTTTAGCATGCTCTGTGATCTGACATCCTTCCTTTCCATTAAAATTCATGATACCCTTTTTTCATAGGGCCCCCATAGAGAGGACTGGGGTCACTTGAACAACGTTTCTCCTGTGGGTCTGACAGCTCAGTGCTCGGGGGCCACCAGAACTGTCCCCTAGTGAACCCTGTGCTACCGGAGATCAAAGCCAAGATCTTGCATAAACTGGGTTATTGCTCTACCACTTGAGCAAAATCACCAGCAACCTTTGTGTGCCCATCTGCCTGACACCTTTCTGGGGTCACACAGATGATTCCTGTTCTATTTGGCTGTATTAATGGCTGCATAGTCCCCTGTTTTTTTTTTCCTGCGGTGTCATAGGTGTAAATATTTAGAGGTGCATTAAGATATCTCATACATCATTGTTCCCCAGTCAGCTCAGCTTTTCTGGATCAGACCAGTGGTCTTATCAACAACCATCTCCTGCCCATCTATCTCACCATGCTGTCTTCTGAGATACGATCTTCACCAGGACCCGTTTTAATATTCGCTAGAGTATCCTTCCCCACCAAAGATGAACAACTTCATAAAACCAATGGAAATTTTTAAAAATACCACCTGTGCCCCTAAGAAGTACTTTGTCTTCTGTCAGGGACTGGTAGAAACCAAGTCCCCCACACTGACTGCATCTCTCATTCCCTCATGCTTGTCAAGAACAGTTGAACCAGTACCCGTATGAATACCTGAGTCCTAGAAGGCCTCTGATTGGGCCTTCCAGACATGCTACAGGAAGACAGGCTGCCTGGAGGATAGCAAAGAAGATGAGATAGCTTCATAACTTAAAGGAAGTGATAGCCACAGAACCATGATGTATATACAGCTTAACACATGCTTTAGATGTTAAAGTGTGAATGTCAGAACCATCACTTACTTCAAAATAAAACTAGGCTGTGCTGGAGGTTAAGTACAGGGATAAGGCATTAGCCTTGCACGCCAGGCTCTGTTGCTGGCACTGGATCTAGTCACCTGAGTACCACCAGGATTAAACCTTATGCAGAGCCAGGAGTAACCACTGCAATGTGTGGTTCAAAACCAAAAAAGGGAAGAAAACAAAGGAAACTAGGAATATTTGAGAGTGCCAAAGGTACAGTATTTTAGAAGTCATGGATTTAGTATTTTAGGAGTTATGTTGTTCCAGAAGACTCCTTCAAACAATGGGAAGAAACCAATCAGCAAGAGATACAAAACAACAGTCTGCTTTAGGCTTAATTATTTTTAAAATAAAGGGAAGAAAATAAAATAAAACAAGGAAGGTAATAGTTCCCTTTGTCTCACAAGGTTGTTGTGAGAAGGGGCTTTGAAGCACTTGGAATCCTGCATAGCACCTCGTCAGAGGCCAATAAATTCTGGTTTCCATTAAAGTTTTTTACATTATTACAGCCCCATCAAACCTTTTCAATCATCTCCCCTAATTCTTTTTCACTTCCAGATTTTTTGCTTCTGCTATTTAAGGGTCCAGAATTGATGTGGCCATCTCTTTCCTACTGAAAAACAACATGGTAAAGGAAATAGGAGGCTGAGGAGCGAATTATTCGAACTTTAAATTGAACATGAAAATCCCCGCGGAATTTTGTACATTTATCTCCCTAAGACTGAAATGGGAGCATGCCTTTTCTCATTTGTTTTCCTTCTCAGGGACATCGCTGCCAGGAACTGCCTCTTGACCTGTCCGGGCCCCGGCAGAGTGGCTAAGATTGGGGACTTCGGCATGGCCCGTGACATCTACAGGTGAGCCAGCAAGCCCCCACTCGCCCTGGGGGGCTTCAGTCAGCTCCAGGACCTGTGAACCAGTGGCCTGCAGTCCCAGGAAGTGGGAGCCCTTAATGAACGCCAAGGCCTGATGGTTTCTTTCTGAGCCCTCTGTAACTGCCGACTGTCACTGACACAGGTTCTTAATGAGATTGTCTTCCTGATTCCAGCATTCCGATTCTAGCATATTCTGGGTTACAGGTTCATTTCAATATTTGATCTGCAAAAGGGACTTCAACTTACTTAGCTTCTGTCCTCGCCACTCAGGTATTTCTAAATGGCTGTAGGTCCCACCCCAGGCCGAAAGTGCAAGCCCCACGAGTACCCTACCCTGGGTCCAATCGTCAACTCCACTCACACCAGTACACACAAAAGCCCCCATCTGCTCAGTTCTGCTGTGCTTCTTCTTCCCCGTCTTAGCCTCAAGTCTGTCCTTAAAAGCAAAGTACACAGGGAGAGATAGGGCAGCTGGTAAGGCACTTGCCTTGCACACGAATGACCTGGGTTTGGTTCCCAGCAACCCATATGGCCTCCCAAGCCCTGCCAGAAATAATCCCTGAGCACAGATTTTAGGAGTAAGCCCTGGGCATAGCCAGATATGCATCCCCCACCCCCCGCAAAAAAAAAAAAAGCCATAAAATACACAAGGGGACAGGAGAGATGATGTGGCATAAGGCACCTGCTGCTAACCAGGGTTTGATTTCCAGCACCTCACTGCCAGGAGTGATCCCTGTGTTTTGCCTTGCACGCGGCTGACGCAGGTTCAATCCCCGGCATCTCAAATGGTCCCCCAGGCACTGCCAGGAGTAATTCCTGAGTGCAGAGCCAGGAGTAACCACTGAGCATCACCAGGTATGGCCCAAAAAGCCAAAAAAAAGGAAAAAGGAGTGATCCCTGGCTCTAGAACCAGGAGTGAGCCCTGACCACTACCCTATGTGGCCTCCCCCAAACCAAAAGAACTAGAAAAAGGAAAACTTAATATACTTATAATTTTTAGAAACCTTCTTCTCCGGCACACAGCCCTGTGCTTCTCTTCCTAGTCCATGTTCCATCCGGTTGCTGACCTTGACTTGTTCTCACTGCCTGTGTGCCCTGCAGCTGCACCCCTCAGACCCTTCCCTGGGAGGTGCAGAGCACTGGCTCACGGCCCCTCTCTGGAGAACACAGAGCTCTGCTCCCTGTCTCTGCCAGCATGTCTCACACTCTCCCACGTGGTGGGGAATGGGGCCAAAGGGATGTGAGTCAGCCAGTCCCCTCAGGAGTCACCACCTCTCCCTGGCATATTCTGTTCCTCTCCCCCACGACCATGGGGCTCTGCGCTCCTTCTCCTACTTTCTGGAACAACACTGGGGTCAGCCCTGGTTTCATACGCAAGCACATGAACCCTGGCTCTGCCTCTCCATCCTCAGCTCTGGCAGCACCCACCCCTACCCCCCAAATCTAGACCTTCCACCATTCTACTTCCAACAGCCAGACTGCTCCCCACGTGCTCTGTTGTCCTGTGTGGGGAAGAGTTGGGGTGGAGGGCTTCTATCACACTCAACACCATCAGCCTCCTTGGTGTGCCTCACACCCACCTCAAGCAAAACAGATCAATTCTCCGTTCACGACACCCACGGCTCATAGCGATGGGGTGAGGCACACCCTGTGGCACTCAGGGCTCACTCCGGGTTCTGTGACCAGGGAGATCACTCTTTACAGTGCTCAGGGGAGCATATGGGATGTCCAGGATTGAACCTGGGTCAGCTGCATGCTAGGTCAGCTCCCTACCCACTGTACTATCTCCCCACCCCACCCCCACTTCCTTGGATATGAGGTTCTGTACAGTAATAGCGTCTATGTCTGTTTCTTCCTCTCTCTCTCTCTCTCTCTCTCTCTCTCTCTCTCTCTCTGAAAACGATGACTTATTTATGTCTTCAGCACCTGGCAGAGTACCCAATAACCCACAAAAGCCTGAGTTCATGTTGACTGAAGGGATTAATTAATCTTGGCAGCTGGCAGGAAGTTAGTTCCCCTAGGTCACCCACCAAGAGAATGAGCGGAGAGGTGGGAGGTGAAGCTGCCTTGAAAGTGTGAGTCAACCTAGTACCTTTGATCACTGCTGTCATTAAAGCAATTCTGATCAAAAGTCCTGACTCGTGTGCACATAAACGTCCTCCCTGCTGCCCCCAGTCCTGTGTCTATCTGATGTGCTTGGATTTTGTTGATGCCTAACTTGAACTCATGTGGTAGACACACAGAGGCCGGGAGGGATGTCCAACACACAGACTCAGCTCTATTCTGGCTCCCACGTTACAGGGTATTGTCGGAAAAACAGGCTGTGAGCGTCAGGGTAGAGGTGGGCTGTGGAGCGAATCATAATAAACCAAACCCATTAAAGATCTCAAGCCACAGGCATCTGTCAGCCATTGATTCAGTCCTTCCTGCCGCATGCAGGCTGGTTTGTCCTCTAGTAAATGACACACACATCTGAATGGCTCCCCGCTCTGTCCCTGAACTACAGAACCCTTGATTTCCCTTTGATGGGTGGATGTTGGTGAGGCCACTTTCTCAAGCTGCCTGGAGCTTCTGCAGAGACCATCCCCCAACCAGTTGGGTTTCTCTCTCCCCCTGCAGGGCCAGCTACTACCGCAAGGGAGGATGCGCCATGCTACCGGTCAAATGGATGCCCCCCGAGGCCTTCATGGAGGGAATATTCACCTCCAAAACAGATACATGGTGAGTCTCTGCTGCCCGCCTCCAGTCTCTCTTAAAGAGAAGGATTTTTATTCCAGTTCATTGGGGTCAGCTATCTCACACACACAGTGGTCTCTTGATAGCGACCCCAACTTTCAAGTGCAAGCAGTTTATATAGGATTTGATTACACAAGCAGTATAGGCTTTATTGTTTCAGATAAGCCTTACTCATCCACCAAATAAAGGTATCTGGCTAGTCCCTAGGGTATATGTTGAACTCTGATAGGCTTCTGGTCGCTAGGTGCATTCTCTATGGTGTCTGGAATATTGTGACTGATTGAACCCACTTGCTGGACCCAGGAACTCTCCAGGTGGGTTCAGGTTGGCTAGTTACACATTGTTTGATTCCCAGGAAACTGAAACTATTTCCGTTCCAGGAATTGAACCTGAGGCCCACCCCCCTGAGTTTTCTCATTTCTGCTGCCTGTCATGGCATCAGTTTCGCTCTTAGAGATTCTTTTCTGGTGTCAGTATCCAGCGGGATCCAGCGGGGCCTCTGTCATCCAGGTTCTGGAGCACTGCCTTCATCACCCTCATGACATACCATCCCAGATCATTCCCTTTCTCTAGGGCCAGATCCTTAATCTTGCCCTCACTATTCTCCTCACTACTCCTATCACTGGGAGTAGCCCAACACCTGCCTCCCAAAACAAAACAAAAACAAAACTGGAATATCCTAAGAAAGACAAGTTATTGCGGTGATCATCCAAGGGTGAAGCACCATTTAACTCCATGTTTCCAGCAGGGAGGTTCTTGAAGAGCAAATGAGGAAGCAGAGTCCAGGGGAACGGAGCTCTAGCCCGCTGGTGCACCTGGCACTGCACAAGCTCCCTCCCTTCAGGTGCACAGGGAAGAGGAGCAGGTGAGGGGTGGGGAGGGACAGGACTGCATCTGCCAGGAGCAAGGTCAAAGGCAGCAGGCAAAGATGATGCTCAGGGCTGCGTCCCAACAAGGGGAAAATGGTGCTTGGGCCCCGTGATCTTTCTCCCTCACATTCCCTCACCCTGTGACCTCACTTTCATCCTAAGGAAAACCACAGATCACAACCTGACATCCTGTAAAACCCCCGAGCCATACGCTTTCAAACTAGATCACCCCCAACAAGGAGTCTGAGATGTGACCAAAGTTCTCGTGTAGCCTAGATCGGCCAATTCCAGGAGATGCTGTTGTTGCATTTGCTTCTGAAGCAGAAAGGAAAGGTCGGGAAAAGCAAGGAAATACAAAAAGCTATGGGCTCGAGCTCGTGGCAGTGCTTTCCGATTGGCTCATGAATTATCACTAATGCACCAGACTAACTCAAGGTGCTAAAAATAGGGGAGTGTTGTAATATGTGGAAAGTCTCTTATCTGGGTGATGTCTTTACATTCTAAAACTGTTCCAAAATAAAATGATAGAAATGCAAAAGTCACAGAAAGCTTGGAAGACAGGATTGAGTAAACCTAGAATTAAATAACCATAAACAGATGGAATCTATATAGAAGGGAAAGGGAAAAAAGTAAGTGATTAAAACAACAGATCTAATTAACTGACAAATAGGAGGTCTGGAGAGAATGAGCAGAGGAAATTAAGAGAATAAAATCATCAACAAAATCACTCAAGAAGATTTCCCAGAACAGAAGGGCATACGTTTCCGGAATAAAAGCACCATGGACACAACAGGGACCCAAACACATCATCAATAAATCTCAGACCATTGGGAGTCAGATCCTGCAAGCTCCCAAGGAGAAGAATAAAGTAGTAGTGAAAAGTGATACAGCGGGGCTGAAGCGATAGCACAGCAAGCAGGTAGGGCGTTTGCCTTGCACGCGGCCAACCCAGGTTCGATTCCCAGCATCCCATATGGTCCCTTAAGCACCACCAGGAGCCACACCCCTGTGCATCGCCCCCCCCCAAAAAAAAAGTGATGCAGGAACTAAAAGATGACAGAGCCAGTGTCAGTTGAGTGCTCAATAGCAAGCCAGGAAATGCAAGGCCCCGTGGACAGCATAGCGGTCACGAAGTCCTAAAAGTCTTGCATTGAGATAATATCTATAGGCGGCCATGCCAAGTGGCTCTGAGCCCTGTTCTCACCCTGCTCTGCATTGCAGCCCTTTCTATTGGACTGCTAAATGAAATACAAAGATGTCCTGCTAAAGTTGAATTTCAGATGAAGAGCAAATCCCTTTTGTGTGTGTGTGTGTATCGTCCATGCAACATTTGGGATATACGAGTAAGTGTCATCTGGAATTCAAGTTTAACTGGATGGCCCAGATTTGTGTTCGTTCAAATGGACCCCGCTCCCTGCCTGAAAAGAACAGAGTTCTCTGGCCAACTCTACTTCTTGCTCCCTTGAACTCTGAGAACAAAAGCTTCTGTTTGCAGTCTCCGCTGGTTCTCTGAAAGGTTACTATGATCACTCTGTTCTGACAGGCATAAAACATAGCGCTGGAATTCTTCAGGCCTTGCTAATTTCTTGGTGCGTTTTGCTTATTTTGTTTTGCCTTGGAGGCAGAAAGAGCACTTGAGAGGAATAATGCATGCAGCAGGCAATTTGTAAGAAGTGAAATGAGGGGACGGAATGATGTATTTCACTCCGTCTTGAATCAGCTGTAAAAGAGCCTCCGCTTTGGTCTTCTCACCTAAAAGTAGTTGGGATTTGCACAATTTTTCTCACCAGCATCTGAAATGTTGCCAAGATTATGTCAATAAAAGTATTTTACGTTCCTTAGGAGAGAGCAATGTTACTTCCTGTTTGAAGTAATATTTATTAACATCAGAAAATTACAACAAAATAAGCTTTTCAGTCAGAAATTAAAGTTATAGTCAAAATATCAAAGGAGTTGACTTTGGACCATGAAAAAATTATTTTTAAGGTCCAGGAATATAACTCATGCTTCACATATATGAGATCCTGGAATCAACTCTTGTCATCAAATAAACCATAAAAACCAATGTTTATTTAAATCAAATACAAAATGGAATTCATTTGGGATGGTTGGAGAGATGGTATAGTGGATAGGGCATTTGCCATGCATGTGACTGACCGGTTTTTATCCCTGTGGTGACCATCCCATATGGTCTCCCGAGCACCACAAGGAGTGATCCCTGAATACAGTCAAGAGTAACCCCTGAGCACCACCGGTACCCTCCCACCACCACCACTAAGAGGAGATAAATAGATGAAGTGAATGAATACCCCAGATAAGAACAAGAAGGGAAATATTTTAGGAATAGTATTGGAAGAGTGGTCATCTGGAAAAATAAGTTTATGTAGATCCTTATTTCACACCATCTACCAAACTGAATTCTAACTGGACTGGAGAGAAGATAGAAGAAGAAGAAAAAAACACAACTAGAAGAGCAGCAAATATTCATCTAATTATTGATAGAAGATTCTATGGGGGAGACAGGCATGACTGTATAATCTATAAAATAGATGGAAAAAATCACCAAAACATTTTTAAATGGATTTGACTCTTAAAAATAAACATCTTTGGTGTTCTAAGAAACATATCAAAGCAACAACAAGCATTATAGTAAGTTAAAGATTAGCCTCTTTTATAAATGAGCCATGTCTTTAAGTAGAAAAGGAAAATTGATACCAGCATGAGGATTAAAACAGGCAAAAGGTATTCATAGACAGGGCTGGAGTGATAGTACAATGGGTAGGGCATTTGCTTTGCATGCGGCTGGCCCGGGTTTGATTCCCAGCTTCCCATATGGTCCCCCAAGCACCGCCAGGGGTAATTCCTGAGTGCCGAGCCAGGAGTAACCCCTGAGCATCTCTGGGTGTGACCCAAAAAGAAAAAAAAAGATATTCATAGACAATTCATAGGTTAAAAAAATGAGTTTATTAATAAATACTTGGGAAAACATTCGGTGAGGTTACTTACCACGTCAAATAAACATACCTTTAACTATCCTTTCATCTCTTTCAAGTTCTCATTGTTTAGTAAGAGTGCTCTATGCTGGTGAGATGTCTGATGCCTTCTTAAATGATGCTCACTGCTGCTCAGAGCAGCACAGCAGAGCTCAAATGCAGTATATCAAGACATTCCCATGGTCCATGATCATCTCCACATTCCAGCAGAGTTATCCAGAATTTTGCTAGGCTATCCTAATCCTAACGGCCAAGACGCAGAGACTATAAAACCCAGCTCCCGGAATGCTCGGCCGCATTTGCGGCCACTCGACATCTTATTTTTTCCTTTGGAGAACCTGGCAGAGTACCAAAAGTATCCTGCCTGCACGGCAGAGTCTGGCAAATTTCCCATGTCGTACTCAATATGCCAAATACCAGTAACAATGATGGGGCTCAATCTCCTAATCCTGAAAGAGCATTGAAATGGCTCTTTTAAAATCTCAGGGCTAGGAAGAAGGAGACGTTACTGGTGCCTGCTCGAGGAAATTGACGAACAGGATGATCGTGATCGTGATCCTAATCCTAAACTTGGAGAATTTACCATAAGGAAATAATCCTCACAAAACTACATAGCGATGTTTATCACAGATCTTGAAATAAGTACAAAGTGGGAAACAGCATGGAACTGAGAAGCAGATTAAGTTCCAACCATTCAAAGGAATAATTTCCAGTCATTTAAAAATTCCTTTTCTAAAATCTTTTTTTTTGTTTGTTTGTTTTTGTTTTGTTTTGAAGTAAAACAGATTTTATTTGGAGGGATTTTAGAAGGGAAGGAGGGAGAGAAAGTGGAATAGAGTGGAGAGTTAGAGAGTCAGAGTAACGCGCTCGAGGGAGAACGGGAGCTTCTCCACGGGCAGAGAGAGCCCCTGCACACACCTCAGCATTAGATAGGAAAACATAAAAGTCCACATCTCAAGAGGGGAGATGCGGGAGACACATGTGCTCGGCCACGCGGGCACAAGCAGCACAGGGGCTCGAGCAGCATATGCGCCCCTTTTCTAAAATCTTTTGATTAGTATGGGGCTGGAGCGATAGCACAGCGGTAGGGCGTTTGCCTTGCACGCAGCCAACATGGCCGACCCGAGTTCAATTCCTCCGCCCCTCTCGGAGAGCCCGGCAAGCTACCGAGAGGATCTCGCCCGCACGGCAGGGCCTGGCAAGCTCCCCGTGACGTATTCGATATGCCAGACACAGTAACAACAAAGTCTCCAATGGAGACGTTCCTGGGCCCGCTTGAGCAAATCGATGATCAACGGGAGGGCCTTTACTTACTTTACTTGATTAGTATGGAAAGTGTTTTTGTCATACAAAAATGTGCAAATGCTCTTCTCCCCGCCCCCAGAAATCCAGATTCAAAACTGCATATTACCTATTACTGTCATTATAGCTAAAAGTCTAAACACACACAAAAAAATGTGTCTAGAACAAACAAATGACACGTCTGTCTGTGTGTGGAGTGCTACATAGGGGCTACTTTCTTGGTCTTTTATTTTTTTCCCCCCTGTTACAGGTGTTGTTCTGTTGTGGAAATACATGCGATTAAAAGCATGAAGATTTTACAGCATGTGTGCGTGCTTGTGTGTGGCTGTGTGGTGCCGAGTGTGTCTGCAAACCCACACCCTCTCTCCTCTCCGCAGGTCCTTTGGAGTCCTGCTGTGGGAAATATTCTCCCTCGGATATATGCCATACCCCAGCAAAAGCAACCAAGAAGTTCTAGAGTTTGTCACCAGCGGAGGACGGATGGACCCACCAAAGAACTGCCCTGGACCAGTGTATGTCTCTCTCAGGAACATTCTTACAAGTGACTGAGCACAGTCTTCCTTCTCAAAACACTAGCTGCAGCCACATGATGCTTTCTGAAACTCAAGAGGAAGCAGCTGAGTTCACTTCGTAGAACGCTAGATAGGACCGGAAGTCGGCTTCAGTGAGATAGGCTAGTCTTCCAGCCCCTGGAAAACAAGAATGTCACGCCAGAAAGTTTCCATTGTCTGGCTGGGGCCTGGGGACTCACTGGGCAAGTCCTAGAAAGTTGTTTCCCTGGCTCCAACCATGCCGACCCATGCCGTGTCTCCAGTCCCCTTTAAATATGTGTCCCTGAGCTCATTGCTGCCCTCTCTAGATGGGAGACATGATTAAGATTTTCTTTTTTGGGGGGATGGGGGTCCGTTTAATTCTGGAGTGAACCAGAAGGACCCTTGTATACAGGTTAAGCTCTAGAGACCTTACTACCCGGGATGATTCTGTGTCCCATCAGCAGAGGGCAGCATATGCCAACCACAGCGCCCTGGTCGAGTTCTACCCTCTGGACCCACAACCAGACTTTAAAAAATGTGCCTGTCAAGAAAGATCAGGGAGATGCAGATCAAAACCACAATGAGATACCATCTCACACCTCAGAGACTGGCCCACATTCAAAAGAACAAAAGCAACCGATGCTGGCGTGGATGTGGCGAGAAAGGGACACTCCTTCACTGTTGGTGGGAATGTCCACTGGTTCAGCCCTTCTGGAAAACAGTATGGACGATTCTCAAAAAATTAGAAATTGAGCTCCCATTTGACCCAGCAATACCACTCCTGGGAATATATCCCAGAGAGGCAAAAATGTATAGTCGAAGTGACATCTGCACTTGTTTGTTCATTGCAGCACTCTTTACAATAGCCAGAAACTGGAAGAAACCTGAATGCCCAAGAACAGATGACTGGTTAAAGAAACTTTGGTACATCTACACAATGGAGTACTATGTAGCTCTTAGAAAAGATGAAGTCATGAAATTTACAAACAAGTGGTACAATATGGAAAGTATCATGCTAAGCGAAATGAGTCAGAAAGAGAGGGATAGACATAGAAAGATTGCATTCATCTGGGGGATATAAAGTAACAAAGTATGAGATTAATACCCAAGAATAGCTGAGATCAGCACCAGGAGGATTACTCCATAACTTAGAGGCCAGCCGGGTATCCTAGAGGAAAGGGCTATTCAGATAGAGAAGGGAGCACCAAATAAAGGATGTTTGGAAGATCCTCCCAGGAGGGGAGATGCATGTCGAAAGTAGACTATGGACTGAACATGTTTGCCACTCAATGCCTCTTTTGCAGACCACAACACCCAAAAGGAGAGAGAGAACACAGGGGATTGCCCTGCCACAGAGATGGGGGGATGGGGGGATGGGGGTGGGAGGGATATTATCCATGGTGGTGGAAAATGGGCACTGGTGGAGGGATGGGTATCTGATCATTGTATAATTGAAACCAAAGCACAAAAAATTGTAAATCTACAACTTTAAAAAAAATAAAATAAAATAAAGGGGAAAAAAAAAAAAAAAAAAAAAAAGAAAGCAAGCTGGGACTGGGGGCATAGGAGGAGGGAGGGGCGAGGCAACCTGGGGATATGGGGGTTAGGTTCATGCTGATGGTGGGGCCGAGTTGGAATCCAGTATGCCAGAAACTCAGTTATGAATTACTGTAAATCACGGCGTCTACATCAGAATGAAATTTAAAAAAAAAGTATTGGGCAGGGAATGTATTTTTCACTCGTTTCTCCTGATTTTAAGTTAGGTGTCCACTCTTCTTGCAGATACCGGATAATGACTCAGTGCTGGCAACACCAGCCTGAAGACAGACCTAACTTTGCCATCATTTTGGAGAGGATTGAATATTGCACTCAGGTATTAACATCACCCCACCCCAGTACCCCAGCCCACGTTGTATGGAAGAGTCTTGGAAAATTTTATTTATTTTTTATTTTTTTATTTATTTATTTTGCTTTTTTGGGTCACACCCAGTGATGCACAGGGGTTACTCCTGGTTCATGCACTCAGGAATTACTCCTGGCCGTGCTTGGGGGACCATATGGGATGCTGGGAATAGAACCTGGGTCGGCTGCGTGCAAGGCAAACGCCCTACCCACTGTGCTATCACTCCAGCCCCCCGAGTCTTGGAGAATTTTAAATAAAAAATAAAGGACCAGAGTGATAGTACAGCAGGTAGGGTGCTTGCCTTTCACACAGCCTTCCTGGGTTTTACCTCTGGCATCCTATAAGCTCCCCTGAGCCCACCAGCAGTGATCCCTGAGTGCAGAGCCAGAAGTAACCCCTGAGAACTGACAGGTGTGTCCCCCCAAAAAGAAAAAAAAATTTTAAAATAGAAAATAAAAGTTAAACCAGCCAAGTAAGACTTATGAGCATGTGAATAAACATTAATTATTAAGTAAAATGATTGCTATGTGAGTTTGCCATTTTTTTTTTTTTTGCTTTTTGGGTCATACCCGGCAATGCACAGGGGTTACTCCTGGATCTGCACTCAGGAATTACCCCTGGCGGTGCTCAGGGGACCATATGGGATGCTGGGAATTGAACCCGGATTGGCTGCGTGCAAGGCAAACGCCCCACCTGCTGTGCTATCATTCCAGCCCCGAGTTTGCCAATTTTGTTAACAAATAATTCTTCACCGGCTTAAGATAGTGCCAGACATTTGGGATGGGGGGGAGATTTGGGAATAAATTCACAAATATTAACTTACCATAAGTCCCTTATAACCTAATGTTCTATTAGGCACAACAGTGATTTGAAAGAAGTGTGGGAAACACCTGCTGTCCTATGTTTAGGGACTGGTTGGAAAAATCATCATATGAAATAATTAACAGTATATAATTGTTACATTCTGTGTTCAAGGATCCCTGAGAAGGGAGCTAAGACCAGGAAAAGACAAAGTAATCTGGAGAAAATAGTCACATCAGCCATAGCAACAAAATAGCCTCTGTAATACACATCTTCTTTCATCATTTCACTTTATCCTCTCTGAGATACATAGAATAGCCACACAGTTCCCTAGAAGTCTCCTGCGTCTATGCAGAACCCCTCCTTCTTCCTCCAGTCCTGGCTGAATTTCTCTCCTCATCCCATTAACAAGAGGCGAATTCCAGGGGAATTCCCCTGAGTTCCACTCTGCCTCCACACCATTCTCACCCTGTTCCCAACTCAAGGACAAGAAAAGGCAAGTCCCTGCCCCCAGAGACTTGCCTTTTCTCCCTCTTTTGTGCTCTGACTTCTTTCTCATCCTTCCTCTGGGATCCCCTCTGAGACTCTCTGTATCCATGAGCACTGGAGAAGTCAGGCGACAAATCTCTTCCTCTCCAAGGCCCCTCATCTTGGTGGCAACAATAAATTCCATTTTAAAACTATACTTATTTTCCTAGCTTCATGATCTGTCCCCAAGGTCCTTTCCATTCAAAGCAGATAAACTGGTCTATATCTCAGAGGAACTTCATTTATCAGGTTATTTGGGGTTCTGAGAACTTGACATTCATACGGCATATAGGATACTGTGGTATGATGTTAATGGTGTACACCCATTAAATATGTGTGTATGGAGAAAGAAAGAGAGAGGTTATTTCCCCCAAAAAAGTATACACCATATTAAAACTAGGGCATTCTATACAGATATATTTAGAATGACTCCCTATAGAATTGAACAGAAAAGGAGCGAAAAAGTGAAAGTCAATCGGTACTTTGTGACTCTTCACTCTTGGCTGATGAATACTGGACCAGAGTACTTTTCTGTTACCCATAGGCAATCCTTTTCAATTTGCATGAAATAGTCATGAATTACATTTCTTCAGGTTTAGGCTTGCTGCCCCAAACTTTCTTGTCCCTCTGCCCAATTACCCTGCTCTTCCAAAGGCCTCAGTTCTTCACTTGTAGGTCACAACCCCATATGAGGTTACATCACCAAGTATGGGGTCATGAAAATCTTGGTAGCACTCAATGGTTTCTGAAGGCACGATGACCAAAAGTTAATTCACAATCTACTGCATTGTGAATCTGAGGAGCAGCACTTAACCCAGGGTGCATTTCTTGGATGGAAAAGGACAGAGAGCATGGAAAGTTGAAGAGGGCCATCCCCGGGTCCCTGTCAGCTGCTGGAAACATGATGATCAAGCTCCTGAGTGAGCTTTGCAAAGGTTTTCCTGAGCTCTTCAGTAACTCCTGGGGTTCACAAAGGACCTCACCCTGTTAAACTTGCTGAAAGGACCGTTGTTGAGATGGAATGTAGAAAAAGTCACAACATGCATGACCTACCACAGTGATAAGACTGGGAGGCTTCTGGAGAGCCAGTAAGAACTAAACCTGGTGAACAGCAGGAAATGTTGTCTCCATCTTCTTGATCCACCTCACACACACACACACACACACACACACACACACACACACACACACTGAGGCCCTCCTTTTACCTAGAAGAATTTTATTGAAAATAAACTGGGGGCTAGAGCAATAGCACAGCGGGTAGGCGTTTGCCTTGCACACGGCCGACCCGGGTTTGGTTCCCAGCATCCCATATGGTCCCCTGAGCACCATAAGGGGTAATTCCTGAGTGCAGAGCCAGGAGAAACCCCTGTGCATTGCCGGGTATGACCCAAAAAGTAAAAAAGAAAGAAAGAAAGAAAGAAAGAAAGAAAGAAAGAAAGAAAGAAAGAAAGAAGAAAAGAAAAGAAAAGAAAAGAAAAGAAAAGAAAAGAAAAGAAAAGAAAAGAAACTGGAATTTTTTTTTTGCCTTTGTTTTGGGAGGTCACACCCAGCGATGCTCAGGGGTTACTCATGGATCTGTGCTCAGGAGTTTCTCCTGGCAGTGCTTGGGGGACCATATGGGATGCCAGGGATCAAGCCCAGGTTGGCCACGTGCAAGGCAAACACCCTACCCGCTGTGCTATCGCTCCTGCCCCTGGAATTGTTTCTTTTTAATTAGTTCGTATATATGTTTAAATCCACTAGCCCATAAGGTTTCTCAAAGGTTGTCTCTGAAAGTCCTTCCTGACCCATTCCCAGGCCCTAGTGATTGGGTCTTCCCAGTCCACTCTTCACAGAACTTATCCTCTGCTCTCAAAGATAATGGCAAATTCCTGATCACTGTGCTTATAAATTAAGAGTCCCACCAAGCAGTGATTTTCTCATTTGTAAAGATTCAGGGTGAGAGGGCCACCAAGGGATCCTCCAGAGTCAAGGTTTGCTCCGGGATTCGGAGCTCTGACGCGTTCCTTTCTCCCAACTCTAGGATCCAGACGTAATCAACACTGCTTTGCCAATAGAATATGGGCCACTCCTGGAGGAGGAAGAGAAGGTGCCCATGAGGCCCAAAGACCCCGAGGGGATCCCCCCTCTCCTAGTGTCTCCTCCTCAAATGAAGCGGGAGGAAGGGCAGGAGCCCGCTGGTCTGGCCCCGCTGCCGTCCACCTCCTCTGCCAAGGCCCTGAAGAAGCCGCCAGCCGCAGAGCTCGCTGTTCGAGTTGCTAGAGGACCCGCTGGAGAAGGGGGACATGTGAACATGGCCTTCTCTCAGTCCAACCCACCCCCAGAGCTGCACAAAGTCCAGGGATCCAGAAACAAACCCACCAGCCTTTGGAACCCCACGTACGGCTCCTGGTTTGCAGAGAAACCCGCCAAAAAGAACAATCTTCCTACCAAGAAGGAACCACACAGCAGAGGGGACTTGGCCCGCGAGGGAAGCTGTACTGTCCCACCGAACGTGGCACCTGGCCGACTGCCAGGCACCTCTCTGCTCCTAGAACCTTCTTCGCTGACGGCCAACATGAAGGAAGTGCCTCTCTTCCGGCTGCGTCACTTCCCGTGTGGCACCGTCAACTACGGCTACCAGCAACAGGGCCTGCCCCTGGAGGCCACGGCTGCCCCTGCAACGAGTCATTATGAGGACACCGTGCTGAAGACCCAGCCTGGGCCCTGAGTCCAGGGGAAGCCTGGGCCCAGGGAGGAGGGACAAGGAATGACTCCTCTGCCAGAGACCAAATGTCACTTTTCATTTTGTGCCAACTTGTTTTGAAGTGCCACATCGAGCATGGTGTTTGCGACACGCTCTCGGAAGGGTTGGAAGGGGGCTTCTGCCAGTCTTTTGGGAGAGGTAAGCATTGTAAAAGCGGGTGGGCGGAAGGCCAGGCCCTGGGGACTGTGTGGGTGTCGTGCTTGCCTGGTGGACCCTCCCTCTTGCTGTTTGCCCATGTGGGGAGCCTCTGTCCTTCAGATCCAGGGCTCTCAACTTGTCCTTGCCTGTCACTGGGGGCGGGAATAGAAAGGATGCTGTGCTTTGGACCAATTGGCCTAGGGAAAGCCAGTGAGCACTTGGAAACATCAGAGGCAGCTAAGCAAAACGCCGCCTTGAAGGTATGGGGATGCTTCTTCTAGCTGTGCTGCTGAGATCGATGCAAATGGGGTGGGGGTGTCAGGGAAAGGCGTGCCTGCTCCTCTGTGGGAGGTACGGACATCAACATGCTTGAGTTTCAGACCCCAGTCCAGATCCAGAGATTCAGATGTCCTATCTCTATGCCTCATGCCTTAAGAAAACCTTCTCCTACTCCCAAACACAAGTGTGAGGTCTCTCCCCCTGGATTGGAAAACTCAAGAGTCAAGTGATCACTTCTTTTGAAAAGTGGAGTAAGCCAGATAGTTTAAAAACAGAGAGTTTAAGTGGCAGCCATATATCAGAGCACAGAAGTATACTCATGCCTGGGCCCAGTATCCTTGTCTTAGGTCAAAACCTTCTAGCAATTTCTATCAGGCAACCTTCCGAACTGAATTTTCGGCTGACAAGCAGGTAAAGCTGTCCAGGGCAGTAAGGACTCCTGACTGAAGCATCATCTGAACTTCCTCCTGTCCCCTAATCATGTGATATGAGTGTGCCCGGGAACCCAAGTCAGCCAGTTATCCACGGCATTGTTTATACAGCTGGACAGTGGTGAGTCAAAGACTCAAAGAGCCCTGGGGTGCAGATGGTATCACAGGCACATAATTATGGGAGTTCAGGACTTGTTTTTTTACAGAGGGACTTTGTTCCCACAAAAAAGCAATTGGGAGTCTATCCCAATGTACACACCTATTTAAGTGGTACGGCTTTACTTTATCAGTAAGTTTTCCCTTAATTCTCTCTGCTTCTCCACTCTCACACCCAGTTTCTTTCCCGGTGGTAGTTGTGCCAAAGCATCACTTGTAGAGGGAAAAAAAAATTTTTTTTTATTGCTTGCTAGTCATGAAGCGTTCCCAAGAAAAAGCACTGTATATACACATAGACCAAATCCTTGTGGTTGCACCTATACAAAACATTTCTCTTCGGATGTGGGAAAGGCGTGTCTTTTTCAAAGTTACTACTCTACCAACCTTCATCTCTCCTGAGGCAGATGCCTCTCCCTCACTGCTAGTTCAGCACATCTGTAGAAGCACTGATATCCTGCACACTGTCCCTTAGCTTAACTGCCAAAAATATTTTCATCAGAAGAAGATGAAATAGCAATGAATTCATCTCTAGATAACTATCTGTAAAGTGTTGACTCACATCAGGCACGGAGCAGTCTGATGCTATAGCATTAATCTAAGTCTTATGCCACCTGAAGGGGCCCCCAGCATCTCACACTGCCCTAAAAGATCACAACTAAGGTTCCATCCTACACTCGGATCAGCATTTTCTTGTGTGTTTGTTACACTAGTGACCAATCCAATAGATGCTCCATGTTTCAGCATCTGGCTCTTCATAGAGATTAAGGGGGCAAATATATCCCTTGTGTCTCCTTAAGCACTACAAACCATTACATTCTCAGGTTGTGCCTTACTACCAGAGATTGATTTGTTGGTTCTAATTGTCTTAATCACTATTAGTTTTCATGTAAATGATAGTTGAGTCATAAAAGCCTGTGTATATGAATAATAAACAACTCCACACCCAGATATAATGACCTCAAGATGTTTCATTGAACCCGCTGTCAGCCCTAGGTATCAGCGTAATATTAATCTGGACCTTTGTCCCCTCAGTGTTGCTCCAGCCATAGGGTTCCAAGAATCCATAGAGATGTACAGACTCAAAAAACTAGGATAAAAAGTTCCACCTAGAACATGAACAAGCACAATTAAAGTTTGCTGAAGATGTTAAGTAAACCAGAAACTGGCATAATTGTTTACATTTGATAACCATTAAGAAACCCATCAAAGCCCCCCAACCATTCCATTAGGAAATTGGCAATTTGTAAGAAATGATCGGTTTAATGGGTGGCATCTCAAAATTAAATAGAAGTAGCAGTAGCAGGAATGAATTTTATTTCTGTAAGTATCACGATCTCCTTAGACATGGAAAGTTAGGATGTCTTGCATGAGCACGGGTCTGAGTTCCGGCTTTCCCTGGGATGTGAACCTGCCTGCACCTTCCTGTCTCTGCTGAGAACACTCACTTCCCTTCTCTGTGCTCATGGGGAGATGACTTGAGGAAGAGTAAGCACTCTTGTTGAACGGCCTCTGGCCTCTTGAATTGCTCTGGGGTGAGGTAGATGGGATCAGGAGCAGTCAGGTACTGTGTGTGTGTATGTGTGTGTGTGTGAGTGTGTATATGTGTAAGTATGTATGTTTATTCATGTGTTTTTATGTGTGTGATGTGTATGTGTGTGCGTGTGTATGCCTCCCGCCCACAGTCCACCCACTTACCTCTTCTATGGTGCCCTTCTTCTATCACTCTGATAGCCACAAGACTCCCAATTGAACCAAATCCTTTCAGCTCAAAAGAAGACTAAGAAAGTCTCCTCTCCTAGATAGAACTCAGTGTTGAAAATCAGCAGCATTGAAACAGAAAGAATCTATTTTTGATGATTTGCCTTTAATTTGATGGCACCAACATACAGTCGGTGGTAAAGCTCTAGCTGTAAGTTATCATGCAACTGTACGTTAACTATTTCATAAAATGTGGGGTCTTTCTATCTAAATTCACAGGACCACCAAGACATTCTAAAGGATTAGACCATCAAAATGGATAAGAGCAGGACTGAAATTCCTGAGTTTAGCAGATACGAAATAATACATCAATTCATGCTACTTTGAATAACACTCAGACCACTCATGCATGGCAAAATTCAGAAAACCCTATGTAGGCGGGTTGTCAATCTATCTTTACTGGTGACATGGATCCCTTAACTTTGCAAATTTCCTTGCAGGAAAAGTTTCCCAGTGTTGTGTGCTTACAATAAAAAAATCAGCATTCCCGTAATTCCTGACATAGTGCTAAGGTAAAAAACAGTCGCCAAGAAACAAATAGTAAGGCTTCTTGAAGACTGATCTTCATGTGGCACCTGAGTAGGTTTACGCCTTTATTATACACTGTTCAAGTACAAAGCCATTTCCATCTATCTTTCTACCTTTAAATCTCTGAAAAGCTCAAGGTCAGACTATAATATGTTGTATGTTGTGGGTGAGGAGCACATAACTTAAATCCATGGAACTAATGATTTTTCCCTCTTCAGTACTCAGAAAATAAGATACAAATGTGAAGCTTTCTCCCATACAGGCGACCCTAGCAAGCCACATTCAAACAGTCTCAAGTACCAAAGTGTCTGCAGTGACAATCCATGTTGATTCTTAACACTGAGAAGTTAACGCCCCAATCAACTTGCTAAGGCCCTCAGCCTCTCTGACTGTAGTCACTCACATTTATTGATTCCATCATCACTAATATGCTCCTTCAGTAGGTGAGTTTCAGAGGGTAGTCACTGAAATTCTCATTAAATTTATTGAACTCTTATTAAACATCTGAGCAAACTAAATCTTAACACTCACAAGCCTTAATTGGCATAAAAAAACTCCCTACAACTTACCTTTTGCAGAGAGGTTACTTCCCCATCTGAAAAATATCAGATCAACGAAACTTCAAGTGATTCTCTCTTGGATATTTTCATGATCACCATGGCCTCCAGAAATAGCAAACCATCTGGGCAGCAGTTGAGAGTAAGGTATCAGAACTGCAATGATCGATCTATGGCAAGCTAGCAAAAACTCATCTCCTACTTAGGAATAGGAGTGGTTTGGTCTTAAGGTCCCTTCCAACTCTGAGTCTGAGTCTGCAAGACTTCACCTTTATAGAAATTCTAACAATAGGTCCACAACTGGCAGGACATCGTGTGTGTGTGTGTGTGTGTGTGTGTGTGTGTGTGTGTGTGTGCGCGCGCACGCACGCGAGCACGTGCAACATACATTCTACTTCCATTCATTTACAAACCAAAATAGACTTTTCAATGCACAATTCCAATGAGCTGCCTAATCTTTGTTATGATGTACACCAGAAAGAAGTTTAGCATCGGCTGTTTATTCTATCCAAGGATCTCTTTAACAAACTACAAAATCATTAACATAGCAAGATAGGGTTAATCAGGAAACAGCAGCACTCCAGGACTCTGGGAAACATGTTTGTTTAATGACCTGCTGCCCACAAGGTCACAAGGCTGATTCCTCTTCTGTGGGGTCAGCTACTCAGCAGCCCTAGTCTCTCAGTACAAATAAAAGTGTGATTTTGAAGTCTCTCTACACATACCCATACGTGCTGGATCTGGTGTCCTATGAATCAGGTGTCTACTGGTATCTCTTGGCTCATTCCCCCAAAGGAGCCTCAGAACAAGCCACAGGTCTGAGCCAGGTGGTGTCTTGGGGTTCAACATTCCTAAATAAGGACCTTGCTGCACAGTGTGAGGGATTCATCATAAAAGTCCTCGCTCTGCTGACCACAAGCTCTGATAGAAGCCCTCTTGCTTAGGTTTCCAGAAATTTCTGCTGGAGTGGCAATTTTGTAACTACTGTAGCTTTGTAGCACAAAAACCAGAGACCTCCAACAAGAGAATCAGTTCAAACCTCCCTTGCCCAAAGCAAAACCTTTTGGCTAGATTTTTGGTTTTTGTTTGGGGCTCACAATTGGAGGTGCTCAGGGCTCCCTCTTGGCTCTGAGCTCAGGAGTCCGTCTTGGCAGGAGCTTGGGGAATGATATGCGATTATCAAGGATAGAACACCGGTCAACTGCATGCAAGGTGCTTACCCACTGTATTCTCTCTCCAGCTCAAGTTTTCTAGCTTTTAGTGTATCTGATAGTTAAGAAAAGAACAATTTGCCTTTTCTTTGGGAGGGCACCATTTGAAAGTAATATTTATATAGTATTTCATAGTTCTTGGGAGAAAGTCATAGTAAAGAGAGAATTTTGTGTGTGGGGTGAGGGTTCAGGGAGTGAAGCATTTAAAATCACATATTTCTGGAGTCCCTAAATCTCCCTTCCTTCAAGGAACAGAAAGGATCATATGAGAAAAATCACCGTACTTTTAATTGATAATGAATAATCTTAGAATTCTTATTAGGAATTTATTTTTATTGGCAGGTTCAATAAGAAAAGAAACTAATTTGTATTTTACTTTCCTGCTCTCTTACTGTCTATCATGGAAAATCTACTTTTTTCCTGAAATCAATAGGGGCCATTTTATGATTGCTAAAATTCATTTAAAAATCCACCTTGGGATATGTTTTCAAAGCTGGTGGACAGCTAACACCTATCCTTCCTAACAAGAAGTGTCAGGGACAGCCACTATCATTAACACTGTTGGCTGAGATTTAAGCTGAATCTCACGTCATATTAGACAAAGAATAAAAAGAATGGCTTGAAGCAGTGCGTATAATGTTAACTCGAGTCACTTCCATGTCAGTCTGATTTGATTTGCTATGTGAACAAATAATTAGTTTAGTCTTCAGGAAGATAAGTCTGTCTTGAGTGAAGCCAAAATGAATTCTATTAGACTGGAGTTGCAAGAATTTTACCTCTAGCAGTCTGACAGAGGTTAAGCACGCAGCCCCTGAGCAGTCATGCAGTTTGGAAATGCTTACAATTCAAATTCAGCACCGTACAGAGAGCTTTTAGAGGCCCCCTATTTAATTTCCCTTACCCACCTCCAACTCTGATTAAGATCTGATCCGGAAGTCAAATTTCACCGCGGTCTTCATGCAGGGGTGCGCATGTGTGTGAGTACCCCGATTTCTCTTTTTTTTCTTTCTGGGTCACACCTGGCCATGCATAGGTGTTACTCCTGGCTTTGCACTCAGGAATTACTCCTGGCGATGCTCAGGGGACCATATGAGATACTGGGAATCGAACCCGGGTTGGTCGCGTGCTGTGTACTCACTATATTATTGCTCCAGCCCACTCCCCCAATTTCTTTACGAGCTGCAAAGTCATGTGGCTTTGGTTCATTTAGGATTTTAGAAGCCACCATCAACCAGATTTAGAACTATTTTTAAATGACACCAGTGACCATTGGGAACAGGCTAATATCTAAATGCTACTAGCCTCAATTTAAACACCTAAAATGTCTTCATTAACATAATTCAGAACTCCTTGCCCACCCCCCAGTGCCATCCATCATGCATGTCCCCTCTATTTTCTGAACTGTAGAGTGAATGACTGGAATGTGTTGCCACTTTATCACAAAAATTCCATTCATGATAAGATACTCTAGTATGAGACAGGAAACAGAAAAACTTTCGTTCTACCAAACAATGAAAATAGTATCAGTAATACGTTTCTGTCAAATTCCTCCACCTATCCTTCTCTTTCCCTCCTATACAAAGGAGCATTAGCAAAAAAATTGGTAGGATTTTTTGCAAAGGTGTCATACTCTGCTTGTAATAAAACTTTAACATGTCTTACTTGACCTGTTGGGTCTCCAAACAGGCTTCATGGGGAATGTCAATTGTGTTTTTGAACAGCTTATGTGACATTGTTTGTAAATAAGGGCCCATGTACCAGAGATATTATTCTACAATGACTAAAATATATGTGATCATGTGAGTTTTGTATTAACTACTGTATTTGTATTATAAGTGTAGTGAAGCAAAGGGCATGAAGAAAAATAAAAGAATAAATTCCTACTGACTTGCAATGTGTTGATTCATATAGTCGCTGAGTCACTCATTTAAGTAACAGTCCATCTTATAGTTAAAATTACTAGATTGGTTTCTTAATTAACAAGAATTCTTTACACATTAGGCCTCACTGGTCAAATGTCTTAACTGCATTTGTTAGGTAGAATTTTTAAGAAAAAGAAAAAAAAATAATTCCTGAGCTAAAAATGCCCCAGAGACCAATGTTGTGAAAATCTGGGTCACATGAGACAGATACAGACCCCTTTTCTCCATATCAGACTACACTGTACCACTCTTTCTCTGAATCATCATCCCATCAAAGTAGAATGCTGATCTGATCTGCAGAAACAGGAAACTGCCTTAGGTGACCCTAATGTGCCTTCCCAATCCCACAAGTCAACAATTTGGGAGGAAAGTTGGGTTACCATGATGCAAACCTTTCTTGTCTTCTGTAACCTTTGTTTCATTGCTTGGTATCTGAGATCACCTGCAGTCAACTAGATAATACCTATATTCTGTTTTATTGTATTTGGGGGGTCACATTTGGTCATGCTCAGGGCGTACTCCAGGCTTTGTGTTCAGGGATCATTCTGGTGGGGCTGGGTGGGGGAGACCAGATGAGATGATCAGATGATCGATGCAAGTGCCTTACCCATGGTACTATTTCTCTGGACTTCAATAGCTCTATTTTAAATGATGGTGGCCTTCGCTCCTTCTTCATTTAATAAATGCACTCACTGAGCATCTCCTAGGTGGATCACTCCAAGCGTTAAGAACGATGAAGAATGATGGGTAAGACAGTCACAATCTCACCCTCAATCCCACAACAGGAGAGAATTAATGAGTAAAATTTGGGGCATGACTGAGGGGATGAGACACGGTAAAGAGAGAACAGCCCATGGGAGTGGGACAGGAGTTCTGGAGATGCAGGGGTACCCACCCAGGCACAGAGTCCCAGCTCAGAGTCAGTGAGCATCCAGACACTCTCAGAAGCACTTAAAATAAAATATTCCCATCAAAGCACTCGAAGATACAAAAGCAAGGCCTTTGTTTATGTTCTTTTTAGTTTGGGGGAGACACCTGGAAGTATTCAGGGTCACTCCCAGCTCAGAGCTCGGGGGTCACTCCTAGAGGCTCAGGAGATCCAAGTCATGCTGGGGATGGAAGCTTCCAGGTCTCCTGCATGAAAAGCATACTCCCCAGGGCTCACTGAGCTACCTACCTCCCCAGGTCTTAATACTTCCTCTTCTCAAGTAGAACGTAAGTAATTATGATTCCTAAAATTAAATTCTAAATTTTCTGACCTATCCTAACTACATGAAATCCCATCTGGATTAAAAAAAAAAAAAGTTAAATAATCTTAGAAAATCATTCTTCTCTTGTGCTTTTTATTTTGTTTTTTGTTTGTTTTTGTTTGGGGCCACACCTAGGTTACTCCTGGCTCTGCACTCAGAAATCACTATTGGCAAGCTCAGGGAACCATATAGGATCCTGGGGATAGAACCTGGGTTGGCTGTGTGCAAGACAAGCACCTTACCAGCTGTAAACTCCAGAAACCAATTCTTTTCTGAAAGAGCACATGAAAAAAACATGAACTGGCGTGGACGGGTGACTGCTAACTTAAGTTCTTTGTGGAGTAGAAAGTATGATTGATTTTAAGGCTCTTTATGGGAAGAGGTCAAACTCAAGTCATTGTTATAATAAACAACAGGTAGGAACAAAGCATCCATGCTCTGAGTGAGAAAGAAGAGGTGCCGAGAGGGAGAATGACAGGATGCCACCCCAAACCAAACCAGCTCCCCTTTTATTATTGCTCAAGAGGTAAACTTTGAATGACATTTCACAAGCAAACCACAAATGAAGACCTAATCTCTAGGTATAGGTACACACACACAGTCTATGGATTTACTCCTCCTAATCCAAACTGTGAGAACTTCTGGTTCTCCGTCCTCGAAATAAATTTCAGTTTTAGCAATACTGTCCTGATACAGACATTTTATATTTAACAAGCAGGATTATGGACAAGAAGGTTCAGTGCTGTCGTGAATTTCATATTAAGGCATAGAGTTTTTTTTTTAAGAAGATGTATAATAAAAATAAGTTTACTTTCAAACTGTAGTACAGTTATTTTGTTCAATCAATGAAAATATTCCTTGATTATAAAGCAGCCTTCTTTTGCACATGTGTTTCAATAAAATAGTTTCAACAGTGTGTGAAATACCACATCTTTAAAAAAAAAGGCAGCAAAGCAACAGAATTTAGATTTTAAATAGTATATTGCAAAATAGTTCAACATATTATTTCTACGCACAAAGCAAGCTCCATCCTGAAGGATACTTTTAATCTTATAAAGCAAACTGTTCAATATTTTTGTGGTAGTTTAAAGTCTAAATATCCACAATAAAAGATAAATCTTTACACTTAGGGGCCATAAACTTCAATGTACGTCCCCAGTACAAATGCTCTGCATTGTTATATCACTCTGCTCTGAAGCCTGTTTGTTCATATGTGCTCCAAAAGGAAAATAAAAACATAATACAGTTCTGTAGCTTTTTAACAGGCTGAATTCATAACCATCATAAATACAACAACAGCAGCGACAGCAAACGCACACCAGTTTATGAATTACAGACTCAAGAAATCATAAATGTTGCAAATGAATAACTACTACACACTTTCTAACATATTTAATTTGTTCTTTTCTCTTAAATACAATTTTATAATGCTTTCCAAACCCCAGGAGGGAAGGGTGGCCGATTTCTCCACAGAGATGAAAGTGCAACATGTTTGAAAAGTGCTTTGTGGTGTGTGTGTGTGTGTGTGTGTGTGTGTGTGTGTGTGTGTGTGTGTGTGTTTGGAGTATCCAATCAGGAAGTTCAATATGTAGGTGCAAGGAATTCTCATTGTCCTCCAATGTACAAAGCTAATAATCATGGACTCCTTCCGCTCATCCAAAGGAGGCAGCCACCAACTCTCACCCTTTATGCAAAGCAAAGAACCAGCGCAGGGTCAAGAGACCCATGCTGTAGTCTTGGCTTGATAACCATATTGTTAGCGGCCTGGGTTAAGAAAGAACTGTGTTAGGTGTTGGAAGGCAAGAGGTTGTTGCCACAAAGGCAACAAGCTAACTCCACAGCTGAATGTCTGCAGGGAGGCAATTCCCTGAAAAGGGCAAACACTCTTACCAAAACATAAGAAAAATACATTCTCAGATTGCACTTCTTAGTACAGAAAGAAACAGGACTCCAAAAATTCTTCACAGGAAAAGGTCAGGCGAATATCGGATGTGAAGCAAGGCTGCAGGGAAACCTGCCACCGTGAGGGCATCAAGCAAGCCCAGGGCTATGTGCCAAAAGGAAATCCAGCAAGCTACATCACCCCACGACACAGTTTCCCCAAGTCTTTAGCATGGAGGCTTTTAGAAAAGCTGATTTGGAAACTGTTCTAGAGAACCGTGACACCTCTCAGGGTTGGTGCCTGGAGAGCCTGAAGGGAGTCTCTCTGAGGCTTTGAGGACACAGCGACCTTTTCAAAATCAGAATCATGGCTAGAGAAAGTGCACCACCTGCCCTGGGACTCTACTGTCCGCGCGGCCTCCACAAGCTCAGTTCCCCTCAGCAGTTCTCCTCCACCAGCTTCGAGCCGTTGATCCCCCGGTAGGTGACTCTGCTCGGCCGCACCAGGACGCCGTGGTAGGGCTTGCAGGTGAAGTAGCGCTTGTCCCCCACCGCGCCATCGTTCTTCCCCTTGGCGCTTCGAAGTTCAAGTCCCAGCCAGATCCCGGAAGCGAAGTCGGTGGGGCCCACGTACCTAACAGTCCCCATCTCGTTGGAGCTGGTGAGCAGCACCTGGGAGCCCTCGTGCAGCTTGACCCCCCCCTCGACGATGCCCGCTGCTGTCGCTGCCGCTGTCGGGGTGCTGCTCCAGCTGCGCCGCAGGGCGGGTTTGGATCTGGGGGTGGGAGAGGAAGAGAAGGCTTGAGGGGGAGAGCCACCCAACGCGGCACCTTGCATGGCCAGGCCGAGCCCGGGGCTCACCACAAGCGGTGCTCCTCCTCCTCCGGGGGCCCAACGGGGCTTCTGCGAGGATACCGTTAGTGATGCTCTTAGCATTGTCCTCATCTTTTGAGCTCGGCTCTCACCCCTTTCATAATGTGGAGCTACGGTTCTCACAAACAATTACAGCAGCAGTAGGTGGTTTTGGTTAAATCCATCAACAAATGATGGGGTGGGACATCCTAACAAGAACCATTGGTTTCAGGCAGGGGAGAAAGCTCCAAGGGCCGAAAGGCATGACTGGCTTACATCGGGCCAGGAGTTGGCTTCCTGCCACCCCTTGGTCGCCCAAGCACCGTCGGTTATGGACTCTGTGCAACCCCCCTCCCCCACCCACCCACCGCCTCCCAGCATCACTGGAGCAATGAACTGTCAGCCCCACACAGCAGCCTTGAGTATCGCCAGGCATGGGCACACCTCCGCCCCCCCAGGAGTTGTCTGGGAGGCTCCCCCACCCCTCCCAAAAAATGGATGAATTGCTTCAAATTACGCCACAGCTCTTAGAAGCCGAGGGAAGTGAGACATCTAAATTACATTACATTTAAGAGTTATGTTGACTCACTTGAAAACACCTATGAAATGGCAGGCCAGGGACACGATTCAAGGAACTTGTGCATAATGATCAGCAAAGTGTTATAAATGCTCCGGTCGAGACGGAAGACTGAGCAGAGAGAGGAAGAAAGCCCCCGCCCCTCGGGTCCCGGGGAAACACTTCCGGGAGGGAGGGACACTTGAGCTACCTTGACAGCTGGCTGAGCAGACAGAAAGACAGAGAAGAGTCGGGGAGGCAAAGCACAGTTAACAGCACAGAGCCGAGGCCTGTTGGCCGGGAGTGGGGAAACAGGGGGTAGGAGGGAGCAGGCAGACCTTCCGGGGGGGGACTTTCCAGAGCTTCTGGACTTCATGCGAGGTCTGAACACACATGCTTGGAGGGATGGGCAGAAAACACAGACAAGGGTGTGAGAAAGGGCCACCCTGTCACGATGCCCACTGGCGATAAGCTCTGCCACAAGACCTTCCAAGGTGGGCAAACAATGACACCAGCTACCAGATCTCCACAGGGCACCCTGGGAAGACTTTTGAGCAGACACCTGGGGGGGTAATGTGAGGAGTTGGCATGGTGACAAGGATGGGGATGAGACATGACAGACTGGGGAGCCCCAGGCCGCAGGGTGGGTGGAGAGCATGTGAGTCAGATGGAGTGGGGGGCTGGGAGGGCCTGAGGCAGTTTCCTTCTCCCTTCATTCTTGGCACTGTGTCATGAATCTGAAGAGCTGTACCCAACCCACTTCCTCTCCATTTTCCCTCTGAATGAAAAGCATCCGTCTCTACCTCACCACCATTCTGGGGAGGCTGAACAACAGACAAGGTGCCTTGGCAGCTGTGATCTGCTCCTCCCCAACCCCCAAGTTCTCTCTCGCTTACACGGGGCAGACAGGGTCCCTACCCAGGGATTTTCATGATCTCTCAGTCCACTCTCCGTGTTTCTTCAGGAACTATCGTTTGCTTCCATCTGAAGAGACGAGAAGGGAGCACGTTGCTTGGTCAACCTGACTGGATTCACGTGGGGACGTGCATGTGGGCAAGCCACAGAGTGGAGTGTGAGGCACTTCTGACCCTCATGCAGAAGGTCCCCCAGTCACTGTCATGGAACTCCCACCCCTGTGACGCCAGAATCTGCTCCACTCACTGCCTTTCTTCTGTTCCTCATAGCAGTGAGCACCAAACATTCTGCTCACACACTCTGAGGAAAAATCACCTGAACAGCTGATTCTCTGGCCTCGACAAAAATACATTAATTTTTTTTTTTAAGGAGGAGCAGTCAGCTTTATTTATCTTCATCTCCACAGAAAACAATTATAGCTCTGGCTCTTTTCTCCTGTCCACTGCCATGGCGACAATTTCTCTCTCCTCTTTCTCTCTACACCATGTTCTCCCATTCACCCACACTTCTACACTTAATTTACTACTTGCTCCCATCAGAGTCCTTTACATGCTGGTTTTCACTTCGTAGCAATTTCCTCCATTTTGCCCAAGAACGCTTGACCATCTTTGGTGAATAGGTGCTACCAGTTACTGCCCATAAGCCAGTGACATTAGCATGGATCTCTGGTGACCCACACTTGAATGTCCCCTGGACTGTGTGTAACCACCAGTGGCTCACACATCTGACAGACTGTGGCAACAGAAAGGATTGTTGTTGCCAAAATTTCACATACACTCGAGCTCAGCCATGTTGGACAAAGCAGAGCTGCTGTCAATGAAGATGCCAGCTGGGGAGGATCACAAGTCCCTGGGCCGCCTGCGACAGGTCAACTCTTGTGGCATCTCAAGTGAGGAGACCAATTCCAAAATTCTCAAAACTGACCAAGGTCTTGAGGAAAGGAAAACAAAACAGCATCCAACCCAGCCAAAGAGAATCTAGTAGTCCCTTGGGGGTTCTCCTGGGATGTGGCAGATCTCCATGCCAGAGCCTGGCCACTGCACACCAGCCTAATCTGTGGGGGCAAGCCAGGGGGGCCCAGCTCGACAGCTTCTTTCGGCGAAGGGAGAGGGAGCGGGGGGACCGCTAATGGTGCTCAGGGGTTACTCCTGGCTCTGTGCTAGGGATCACTCCTGGCGGTGCTCAGGGACAATATGGATGCTGGGAATCACAAACAGGTCCACTCCAACAAGGCGAGCACCCTCCCCTCCTTGCCAGATCTCTGACCATAGGAGGCAGGACCCAGCACTGCAGGAAGGCTGCTCTCACCATTCCCAGTCTACTTGTCCCTCTGGGCATTATTCACAGATTCATCAGGAAGATTTTGTTTTGTTTTGTTTTGTTTTGTTTTAGGGCCACACCTAAGGGTGCTGTAGGATCACTCCTGAAGAGCTTGGGGGAACCCATGGGGTTCCGAGGATCAAACCTAGCCCACCCTGCCTGCTGTCCTCTCTTTCTGATGCCAACATTTCTTTAAAAAAAAAATCTGGGGCTGGAACAATAGCACAGTGGGTAGGGCATTTGCCTTGCACATGGCCTATCTGGGTTTGATATTCCCAGCATCCCATATGGTCCCCTGAGCACCGCCATGAGTAATTCCTGAGTGCAAAGCCAGGAGTGACCCCTGTGCAGGGCCGAGTGTGACCCAAAAAGAAAAAAGAATCTTTCAACCCAAGTTCAGAAGAATCTCTTAATCCCTTAAAAGTAGTTCCTAAAACTTTCAGAAAAAAATAAATTTCTGAAACTTATTGAGGTGGGGGGGGCAGCAGTAATGTGGGTGTGAGAGAAATAAAATAAATGACAAAGAGAAAAGGACATTCCCAAGACAAAGGGAAAAATAAAAGCTTTCTGAGCAGTGCACTCTACAAGAGGAAGCGGGGATATATTTTTAAACAGTAAGATCATCATATGCAAATAGGCCTGACATTTCATGAGTTGCTGAAAATATTAAATCAAATCTCTGACTAATTAAGTAAACAGTTTAATATCAATTCACCCTATTCAACGGTAACACAAAACATAAATTCCTCCAACTTTTATTAACAGAACTAAACCTCAGGAAACATGTGCGGCCAACTCACTGCAGTCACTGGTGACATTTTTAATTGAGGTCGTAAAGGAGGGAGAAGAACTCTTCTCAGTACACCCCCTACACTGCTTCTCCTACGTGTTCAAACTATACTGCACTGTCAAAGATATAAAACTCCACTTTTCTTCCTTCACAGATTCCCATCCTGTTCATCTTGAAAGGTGTGCTTTTTTCTAAATCTTCTTGATACTCACTTGGCAAAAGCATTTCTTCGGTTAATCTCTTTTTGGGAAGAAGCAGACGTCGTACTGAAGCTTCTCCTAAAACCTGAGTGAGAAAGTTAAGGTCAAAAGAGGAAGAAAATACAAATGTGCAGACCTGGCCAAGTTCTCCAATCCGTTTCAAGCCCTGTTCAAAGACATGAGCAGACACCCTGTAGTGTGCTCCCTTCTGCTCTGAGCTCTGCACACACCGCGCCTTTCATGAATGGAAGGTCTGGGGTGGCCTTCACACCACAGTACCACTCATCCCTGCCTCCGCCCCCAGCTTGTGTTCTCTACACGTCTGTGTTTTCAGGAATTCTCTTAACTTTCACATTTACTCTTATACCTGTTATTGTGCACCAATATCTGGGACCTTTGAGATTACTGTTATACATTTGGGGGCACCATAAACAGTAACCTCAAGCAAACTTCATCTATAAATGAGTTAAATATTCTGAAGGCTCCATCAAATGGCCATTGTCCACCCCCATCTCTCTCTCCCTCTCTCCCAGTCAGCCTATTCCTTGAGACACAGGATTGAAACGAGGTCAGTTTCATAACTTAGAATGGCCACTAAGTGTTCGAGTGGAAGCTAGATCCACATGTCTCTCTCCTGCAAATAGAAAGTTAGAAAGAATGACGCTGACTGAGGAAGGCAAGTGGGTGCTGAAAGAGGCAGAGAGCCAGGCCCCTCCTACCAAACACTCAGCCATGCTGTTGAGGGTATGGAAAAAGTTGCTGAAAGAAATTTAAAACACTGCCCATGAATGATATAGAAGCATGAGAGCTTATTGCTAATGAGGACCAAGTTTCCTGGTCTGGATAGAACATTAAACTGAGCACATTCCCTAAAGCCAAAGAGAGCCTTGTGCTGAGCAGAACCCTAATCCTCTTCCACTCTACCCTGAGAGAGTTGAAGAAGCAGAGAGAGAGAGAGAGGGAGAGGGAGAGAGAGAGGCAGAGAGAGAGAGAGAGAGAGAGAGAGAGAGAGAGAGAGAGAGAGAGAGAGAGAAGTGGCAGGAGGGCAGCAGAGCTCAATTCCTGAAGTCGAAGGGAAGAAGCCATCTCTGGCTCATCAATGGGCAAAACGAGGTTGTCAAGGACCACTGTAGAAGCAACAGCAAGTTCTGGACAAGATTCAGCTAAGGCCACCGATGAAGGTGGCTGCACTACACAAGAGAATTTTATGAACAGCCTTTGGGTGAAAGAAGATACATCTAGGACTTTAAGATCAGAGAAGAGAAGTCAATGCCTGACTCAAGCTTCAAAGGACAGGCTGGCCCTCTTGTTAGGGGCCAATGGAGTTGGTGACCAAAAGTTGAAATCAATGTTCCTCTGCATTCTGAAAATCCTACGAACCTTAGAATTTCACTAAATCTACTCTGTCTGTGCCCCATAAATGTAACAACAAAGCCTGGAAAGCAGAGGCTTTGTTTAATGAATATTTGGGGCCTTACTGCACAATGAAATCGACTCATTTGACTAAGCTCCTGGCCATTGACAATGTACCTGGTCACACAAGAGCTCTGATGCAGACATAAAGGAGATGGGGGCTGTTTTCAGGTCTGTGGACACACCATCAATTCTGCATCATGACTCTACTGTAATACAATAATTATTCTTTTTTTAAAAATACTGCTCGGCTGACATAAAAGGTACCATGTTTCAAAGAGGTCAAAAGCAAAGAGAATAGGTAACCCAAAACTAAAACCATCAACCAGCTTATATGAGGGGACTGCCACTGAATCCTTGAGAATTCCTGCTTCTGCCCCACTGGTTGCTCAGAAAACAGGGAAATAAAGAAAAGCCTAGAGCCTAGAAAATGGAATTTGAACAAAGGGTACCTGGGGGTTCCATGAATATCCCAAATCACTCACCTTCCATGTAAGGCTAACTGCATAACAAAATCAAATGTCATTCAAATCAAGACAAGGGAAGTGGTTTGCACTTACCTTAAAGCTCAGAAGGCACAATTTTATTTCTTTAAAGTTTATTATCATGGGGCTGGAGTGATAGCACAGTGGGTAAGGCATTTGCCTTGCATGCGGCCTGACCCGCCAGCATCCCATATGGTCCCCTGAGCACCGCCAGGAGTAATCCTGATTGCATGAACCAGGAGTAACCCCTGTGCATTTCTGGGTGTGACCCACCCCCCCAAAAAGTTTAAAGTTTATTATCAGACTATCTATAATATGGGAACCAACTACAGAGAATATAAATTAAAGTAGTCCCAGATTGGCACTGCCTCTGGGCAACTGGCACACTTGATTTAACCTTCTCTGGTGCCAGCAACCCAGGCCACAAAGAACTCTCATGCTAAAAGTCCGGAGCTAACGATGCATCTCACAGCTTAAAAATTACAACACTCAAAAGAAAAGGTTTCCTACGTTGTACTCAACAGAAACAGATGGCGGAATCAAATTCATGAAGACTTCGGCTGAATAATTTAACATACAGTACCAGATAAGAGTGTTTAAAAGGTTTCAAGTCATTTTTTTAAAAAATGTTTGAAAATATAATTAAAGAGGAAATACCAGTAAGTAACAACCAAACAACTATGCAGAATGAAAAAAAACCAAAAAGGTCAAAATGCTATGATCAGGACTGGATAGATATAGGGCAGGGCGCTCAAGCCCTAAAGGCACAGGACCCCTAGTGCAATCCCCAACACTCCCCTCCCTTACCCAGTGTATGTTCTCTCTCCACCTTTACCTCCTTGATTTTTTTCTCTCAGTTTTGAGGTAGTCCTGGTGTTGTTCAGGGCTTACTCTTGGCTCTGTGCTCAAGGATCACTCCTGAGGAGGCTCAGGGGACCATACGTGATGCAGGAGGTTGAACTCAGGTCCACCATATGCAAGGCCTTACCTGCTATACTATCTCTCAGACCTAACTAGCATAATTTTACGGGATAAAATCAGTGCCTGACACTGTTAGAACCCAATTCACGGACCAAAAATATTTGCAAAACACATTCTAGACCATGAGTTTATAGGCTCGATTGCCACCCCCCTCTACCCCAGTCTTCAATGTTGAAGTTCCAATCACCAGGAGCTCAGGACGTGACCTTATATGGAGTCAGGGCCATATAGTGACATTAGTGGCAATAGTCACAGTTAATTAAAACAAGATCAGGGGCCACATTGATAGTACAGCAGATACGGTCCTTGTCTTGCAAAGAGCAGACCCAGGTTCGATCCCTGGCATCACATATGATCCCCCGAGTACCACTAGGAGTGATTCCTGAGGACAGAGCCAGGAGTAACCCCTGAGCATCACCAGGTGTGGCCCAAAAGCAAAAAGATGAGTCTATACTGGTGCCCTTATAAAAAAGAGATTAGCACACAAACACACAAAGAAAGAGTATGAAAAGTTATAGGAGAAAAATGGCGGTTTACTAGCAAGGAGGTTTTAGAAGAGACAATCTCACTAACCTTATTCCTGGACTCCAGACCGTCAGAATTATTAGAAAATAGATTTCTAGGGGTTGGAGCGATAGTATAACAGGTAGGGCACTTGCCTTGCATGTGGCTGACCGAGGTTCAATACTCAGCACCACATATAGTCCCCCAAGCACTGCCAGCAGTGATCCCTGAGCACAGAGCCAGGAGTAAGCTCTGAGCATCACCAGGTATGACCCCCCCCCAAAAAAGAGAAAATAATGTATTTCTATTATTTAAGCCATCCCATCTATGGCAATCCTAGCAAACTAATCGGCATTGTGCATTATTAGAGAATTTCAAATTAAAGCGTGTTATTACTGCACTACTATTAGAATGGAGAAATCAATAGGTCATAAAATTAACCTCAACAAATATTTAAGGGTCACAGCGGTAGGGTGTTTGCCTCGCGCGCAGCCGGCCTGGCTGAGCCGGGTTCGATTCCTCTGCCCCTCTCGGAAAGCCCAGCAAGCTACGGAGAATATCTCGCCTGCATGGCAAAGCCTGGCAAGCTACCCATGACATATTCAATATGCCAAACACAGTAACAACAAAGTCTCACAATGGAGATGTTGCTGGGCCCACTCGAGTAAATCGATGAACAACGGGAGGATGGTGCTACAGTGTATTATATGAGCCACTCTTTCACTGGTGATAGCCCATAAAGGGGTGAGGGAGTGAAATAAGATCTTAATCCTACACAAAAATAATTCCAAGATGGACAAACATGGAATACAAAAATTAAACCTTTTAGAAAGAATTATAGGAAGATATCCCTATGATATCGGTTTGGTTTTGGAGCTCTTTTTGCAGTGCCAAGGATCAAATCTGGGTGAAGCATGAGTTTGATCACTTAGCCACACTTTTCCAGTATTTTTTTAGGAAAACATTTCTCCCTTTTCTTTTTTGTCCAGCAAGATGACTGGCTTAAGGGCAAAATATGGGTGTGTTTCTCCTCTCTTTATAAACACTCATAATAATAGTCATTTTGTATGGACATAGTAAGAGATACATTAAGCTTATAGGATGGTTTTCTTGGGGGCATCTCGCTATAGATCTCAGACTCAGTACTCAGGCCAGATTAGTCTTTCCTAACCCTAGCAGAATCCTAATTCAGTTGTCACTCTTTGGATCATGACAGAATTTGTTCAGGCTCTTAACTTATAGTTAAGTACTGTGGTGCTTTGACCTGGCCCATTTCAACGCCAGGGTAGCTCACAGCTTGCCCTGGGTCCATCCAGTCCCTCTTCGGGTCCCTGTTTTTGCTGCTTTTGGGGTGCTAGGAACTAAGGGCAACTGAGGCTTAAGTCGAGAAAGCAGACGCCCAATGAGTGAATATTCTTCAGAGTCAATTAACTCCCAAGTTACAAAGCATAATATTAACTGTCTTCCTGTGTCTATACAAAAAGGACATTGCTTTAAAGTAAACTATGCAAAAGGACATAAGAGAAGGAGAAAAGCAACATTTTATTCACAAATATAAAAATCATAGATTTCTGAGGAATCTGACCTTACAAGTTAACAGAGTCTGATTAGAGGGGAAAGTTGATAGACCAGTTGGGGAAGAGAGCACAGAGAAGAGTTAACAGATAAACACAGAGGAATGGAAATGCCTCAGGAGCACTGTGATAAACATAAGCTCCCTGTGGCAAGGGAAACAGGACATACCAATGCTATCCTAAAATGTTTAGACTATATCCCATTAAACACAGAGGAATGGAGGTGCTTCAGGAGCATTGTGATGGGTCACACTCAGTAAACCTAAACTCCTTGTGGCAGAGGAAAAAGCACAAACCAATGTTAATTCTACAATTACCTGAGCGTGGGGTATTAAGAAAATGGTAGCAGATAAGATTGCAGGCAATCAGGTTCCAGGTAATCACCTTCTTCAACTGGGGCAGCAATGTTTGCCTTCTGACTGTATTAACTATAGCAGTATTTTTTTTTTATCTTATTCATGTATACAGCACAATCAAGTTCTTCAGCAAATGAAAGCAAAGGAATACTTGTTAGGAATAAAATTCTGTCATCTTACCAGGATAAGAATGATTCTGTTTATTCGAAGAAATTTCTGAAAGTGTGTCCAGGGAATCTGTGATTCTGTATTTAAAAAAAAAAAGAGCAACACATGCTTCTTAGAAGTGGCTATTCTTCAGAGCTCAGGATGGCTCTGAACTGATGCTTTGATACCAACACAGATTTCTTATTGCACCCCAACAGACAAACCATGTATTGAGTATCTATCATGAGTCACAAATAAAGTTTAAAAAAGCATTAGAGGCATGAAATGATCCCACAAAAGTGGTGCTTGTTTTCTAAGAATAACTGGTCAAGAGTGAACTTAAAGTAAATTTACTTAAAGCAGGGACTTGTTTTTTATCTTCAAAGATGGAACCCAAACCATGAAAACACATTTATTTTATATTAAATCTAATAAATTTTAGGTTTTAACTTTAAAGATATTACTTTTTATTCCCCCCCCAAAAAAGAGGTATCAGCTGAGTTTATATTTGTATGATTTTTCCAATACTCTTTTTGTGTGACTAAGACATTTCAGCATCTTTGTTTTTCTCTAAACACAATAATTATGGTTACTTCCTAGACACACTTGTATTTATTTTTGATATCCAAATCATTGTTTTTAAGAAGTCAAACAGGAGGCTCTAGTTCAATTCCTGATACCACATGGTCCCCCGAGGACAGCCACGAGACACTTCCCCTGCCCCAGCACAGAGCCAGAAATAACCCCTGAACAAATACCCCCAAAATACTCAAGCTTTGGAATCTCATGCTTTTTCAGTTGTTTTTCAACCTAAATTGCCAAAGCCCTCATTATGCCAACTCCTAGCATATTCACTTGCCATCTAGAAATTATGCAACTCTAATAATAAATACTTGTCATTCATATGCATACTTCTCACATGATATGAAACGTATAGTAACTAATAAGAAACTTATGAACACAAAGACTATGACTTGGTAAAGAGGAAAGTTATTTGCATTAGGTGGTGACAGTATGAAGAACATAATCATAAACATGAACAATTCATTGGTAATAGGTGACTAATAATGAAAACTCACAAGAAAATGAATGTGATGTCACCTGAACCAAAAAAAAAAATAGGCAAATGACTGATGGACAGAGAGTGTCAATCTAGTAAGTTTTCTTATGAAATATTAGCTGACTTGGACTTTAATAGAAGGAAGGGAGTCTTTAAAAGTTGGGTGATAGTCGGTGGGTCTAGAAGGGCATTCAAGCAGAAGAGATAAGAATTTGGGAGAGACGGCAGAGAAGGTAGCTATGATCTGGGAAGGAGGGAGAGAATGAGCCCTCATCACTCCTCGAGACTAACCTCAGACAGTCCCTGGGTTAGAACTTTTCCTTCCTGAAGATTATCAGTGTCTGTAAAGAGCTCCAAAGCTGGTTTAAATTAGAGTCTCCTCCAAATCAGGGACCATGTCTGCTTTATTTGCTCATAGAATGCCTAGCACAGCACAAAGTGAGAAAAGACACTTAATAGTATTTGATGATGATGAATGAGACAATCAGAAGACGACAGGAAGACAGCTGGATGAAGACAGCAGTTCGTTTAGAGAGAAAGCCCCGTTTCTTTCAAGAAGACGGGCTGCTTTTAAATGAATCACCTTAAATAAGACCAAACAGAGGAGGGCGGGGTGGGGGAGGGGAGCAAACACTATTCCCTAAGTGAGGCAAGGAAAGATGAATCCACAAGAACGTGAAAGAGAAAAAAAAAACCTGCCTGGCATTTACAAAAAAAGAAAAAGAAAAAAGAAAAAGTCTGACTGAAACCCAACCATAAACAACTTTGTAACTGTGTATCTCACCATGAATCAATAAAAAAAAAAAAAAGCACAGAACTAGACTTGAGCACTACTGACAGAAGCCAAGCAACAAGCATGCTTCCTGAGTAACCAAACCAGAAGAGTCCCCATCCTTGCTGCCACAAGCAGGGAGCACTGAGTAGTGAGGACACAGCCAGAGTAATATGAGAGGACGGAGGAGGACTCAGAATTTCTTGCCGGAAAAGTGAGTACTGGAAGTAAGTAACGGGATATATGTGATAACTTTTCAGTAGCTGTATCGCGGATCATAATGCCAGAAAGAGAGAGAGAGTAGAGAGAGAGAGAGAGAGAGAGAGAGAGAGAGAGAGAGAGAGCCTGCCATAGAGGCAGATAGGGAAGGGGGTGGGAGGAAAACTGGGAACACTGGTGGTGGGAAATGTACATTGGTGAAGGGACGGGTGCTAGAATGTTGTATGACTGAAACCTTACCATGAACTTTGTGTATCTCACTGTGATTTAATTTTTTAAAAGAGTTTTAAAGAACAAAAGGAATTTCTTGCCAGTCAATAGGCCAGAAGGAAGTCCCTGTCTCACTCCTGATCACTAGAGGGTAATTCTGACTCAAATGACCCAATTTCAAACCCCAATCTGGGAGCTGGGCACAGCTGCATCTCTCTCCTAAGCCCTCTGTGCCTTACTTGCCGGGCCAGTGAAACTGGGGTCACTGCCCCCGAGGGGTGCCAGAGGGGAGTGGATAATGCATGCCAAAGGTACCCAAAACAGTGCAGGCCTCCGTCTCTTCCCTCTTTCTCCTCTTGCCTCTCAGAGGCTGCCCCGATAGCACAGACCACTTTTAAAGCACAGGCCGCGGGGGTACGGCCACAAAAACCACAGATGTGGCAGCCAAGTCCCCACTGTAGCAAGGGGGAAGTCTGGCTGCTGGGCAGAAAGGGGGGCTCGGGCGAGACCCCTGAGAATAAGTGAATGCGGTCAAGTGGCTCTGAGGGCCCATATCGGACTCAAACCGGCCACCCAAAAGGACTCAGTGGCCACACAATCCCCTCCCCAGGGGCCAGCACACAGCAGTGGTCCTGAGACGCGAGACAGGAGAGTCCATCTCAGGAGTGACTGAGTCCACTCCTACCCATTTCCTGAGGACCCATTGCCCTCCTGTGAGAAGCACTGGTCTTCCCAGAAGTCTTCCCCCAGCTCCCTCCCACCTCCTCTCATCTCTTCTCTACCTGTTCCCCTCTTCCTGTGATAACCTCCCTGGCCTTTAAAACCAGGTATGTTTCTAGATTTTTTTTTCTTCTGTTAATCTTCGGTTGTTGATTCACAAACCCCCACACTCCTGGCCCCTAAGGGGGTAGAGAATGAAGCTTTTCCTTCCCTGTACCAGCTGCACAACTTTTCTCTAATGCTTTACTTCCACAGCAAAAGGAGAATGAGCGGGGTCCAGTCCATCCTGCTGGACTCCAGTGGTATTGAAGAGAAATGGGTCAAAAGAGCACTGAGCAGAGCCATTCACTTATCAGCTGCTTAATAAATAGTAGGAAGACATCGATACAATGGAGTACTATGCAGCTGTTAGAAAAGATGAAGTCAAGAAATTCACATACAAGTGGTACTACATGGAAAGTATCATGAAATGAGTCAGAAAGAGAGGGACAGACATAGAAAGATCGCATTCATCTGGGGAACATAAAGTAACAAAATAGGAGACTAATACCCAAGAATAGTCAAGATAAGTACCAGGAGGTTCACTCCATGACTTGAAGGCCAGCCGCACGTGCTAGGGGAAAGGGCAGCTCAGACAGAGAAGGGAGCGCCAAGTAAAGGGTGTTGGGAGGATCCTCCCAGGATGGGAGATGCATGCTGAAAGGAGACTATGGACTGAACATGATTGCCACTCAATGCCTCTTTTGCAAACCTCAGCACCCAAAAGGAGAGAGAGAACAAAAGGGAATGCCCTGCCACAGAGGCAGGATGGGTTGGGGGGATGGGAAGTGGGAGGGATACTGGGATCCGTGGTGGTGGGAAATGGGCACTTGTGGAGGAATGGGGACTTGATCATTGTATAACTGAAACCCAAGCACAAAAACTTGGAAGGTCAACAACTGTAACTCATGGTGTTTCACTAATAAAAAATAAATAAATAAGTAGTAGGAAGAGTTATTTTCCAGCTTCTCTGGGCAAACACTCAAGAGAACCAATGAAACAACAGTTAATTGAAAACACCTTATAAACCCCAGAGCACTGTATGTTAGAGGCTTATTATCACACTAAGAAGAATTAAATCAAGTGACATCATGGGAAAAAAAAACATGAACACAAAACATTGTATGTAGTTCAATTATAAAAGTACAGTAGACATAAAAGTATTTAAATATCAAAAATGTTCAAATTGATCAGGGGTTAGCCACTTAGTCTAGCTGGAAAAAACTTTTAAAAGTCTCCCAGGCTGGATGGCGGCTGCACGGGAGCCTTGTGGACAGCAGGTTTGAGCCGGGGGTGGGGGCGGCAGGGACCTCATGGGAAGAGGGGGCGTAATGGGCCGTCCTTCACGCCCGACCGAGGTCGCCAGCTGCCCCCCACGAGCGGCTCTCCGGCACGGCCACGACTCCAGAGCACAGAAACCAATCTCTTAACTACCTAACTTTTAATAGAAATACTTCCAGGGTTAATAAGTAAAATAGCAGAAATCCAAAAGCGCGGCCGCAATAGCGGCCGCGTGACATCATTTTATTCTTAAACCAAGTTGTAGAAAGCAAATCATTTCACAACGCTGTTTCAGCACGTCTGATGGGGGGGGGGGGGGGGTTGTAAACTCTAAACAATAATGGTGCATCTTCTATCGAAACAATGTATCTAGTCAAAGTAGATAGAGTATTAACTAGAACTCATCTGCCTCACAGGAATTGGGAGGGGTGGGAGGTGGGGTTCTATTGGGGTTCACGGTTAAATATAAGTATTGGTAAAGGGAAATGTGTTTGATATTTACATGACTGAGACTTAAACCCGAAAGCTCTGTAACTTTTCCCACAGTGATTCAATAAAGAAATAAATTATAAAAAAAAAAATGTCTCCCAGGCTGTCATCCTAGATCATGAAAGATCACAACTAGATCCAGCTTCATGAAAAGGATTATATCGCCTATGTTCTTTCTTTATGCTATATTTTTATTTTTTTAATGTGCTCTGCCAGAAGGCACAAGTCAACTCCTTTCAGAGCATGAATCATGTCACAGAGTGGTCCCAGGAATTTTGAGAGTTCTTGTTTCTGCTCAACTTAAGTTTTTAAGGCCACGGTGAGCTGTTCCAAAAGTGTGCCACTCAGGAGAAATACCAAGGAGGTATATTACATATAAATCCACGAAGCCACAGTTCCCCCCCAAAGATCTACTGCTTGTCTATTTTTGAAAACTAAAGAAATCCAAGGAAAAAGCCATTTTGGTCCCATTAGGTTTGTAGGAGAATGAATGGGGTGCCTGCTGGCAGGAAATTTAATGTAGTTAGGATGTGACTGAAGCAATCAGAGAGCATTTTCACTTTTGTTTGCATGACAGATTAAGCTAGCTGCTCTCACTGTTCTTAGCTGCAAATGCCACTTCTAATAGCCTACACATACTCATAGGGTTTGCAAATGAGGAATAAAGGAGGTTTTTAAAAATTGCAAATCCTTGGAAAAGCAGATTTCACTTTTCCCCAGGCCTCTCTCTAAAGAAGGTGGCTGGTTAACCCCTTTATGGAAGATGGGATGGAGTCAGCGCCTGTCTTTGACGTAAATTCAGGGCTCCACAGACCAGTGCAACTGACACAGAGTTCCTAAGAATAAACACAGATTTCATTTTTCTTACCTTTGCACCCTGGAGGGGGGAGCAAATATTCCATATCTTGGAGAACAACTAAAATACTGGACACCTCCAACAGAGCCGTCATTCTTGCCGTGGGGTTTTTCGAGCTCTATACCATACCAATAACCTAGAACAAGGAAACTGGATTGTGAAAAGCATCAGCACTTTATTCAAAATTGTCATGTTATTATACATACTCCAAGTCTAAGGGGGGGCTGCACATTTTCTGCAAATGACCAAAATGATGGATAATCATCACAATCATTAAGCTTTCAAATGATAAAATTATAAAATAAATTTTGAAAAGTGAATGGGAAAAACATTTCACAGGCATAATTGCAGGGTAGTACATTAAGGGAGGAGGATGAAATGCGCAAACACAAATTTGGCAAGGATTAGCTATTCTGCAAGTAGCGTATGATCAAAATATATCTAAAAGCAATGGCGAGTCAGAGTGGTCCTTGACTCGGTAATATAACTCTTAAAAGCAAAAGCAGAAAATCATACATACTGAGACATCTGAATCATAAAATAGATAATGCACTCTTTCCACTTTACTCTCCCAGTATTAGAACACCACAGATACTTCTTAAGTAATTAAAACCAGAACAATTGGGGAAAACAGGACTGGATTCTATGCAGACTCGTCTTTGCCATGGGTTTTTTTTTTTATTCTGCATCCAGGATGAAGAGAAAATTTTTAAATTTTGAACCTATATGAAAAGACTTAGGTTAGCTAATGAGAAGAACTTCCTAAAAGGCTTCCTTCGGCCTTGCTATCTTAGATACTGTTCACATTTTCTCACTTTAATACACCATATAACTGGCTATCCTTGTACCATAAATGCACCTGAAAAACTACGACCCTCAGCAGGAAGACACTATGTGAAGTGTTGAGCGCGTTTAGTTAGCTGGCGGTGGAGCAGTGCAGATCCAGATGGTGATGTTCTGTTACAGTGGCCCTGATCAAAGCACAAAAGTGGCCAAACATGACCTCTCTCAGGTCTTGGTCTTATCGTCTATAAAAAGCCTAGTTGTCACCACGGCTCCCTAGCCCTGAGTCATCTGAATTTTAATGTTTCAAGAAAGATTTTCTGCTGCTTTCTGAAAGGGCAAAAGGGAGTCAACAGAAAAGTTTGTGGCTTTGTTATATCTACTTATTCCTTCGCAAATCTTCTATTTGCTTTACTTACATTGGGAATCTAAAAGCTAAAACTCCATCTGAAATGATACGATATCCAAAGAGTCAAGCCTTCCCAGTCTTTTGGCATTGGAGGAAACTCAAAGAAAGTGTTTGTGAAAAAGAATCTCCACCCTTAGGATGTAAACAGTTTTATTTGAGAGTATTGATAACATCCACACTGACCTCAGTTACACTTGGAGACCTAGGAGAGATAGAGACTGTAAAACAACCCATCACGAGTCTACTGGCTGGCTTGATCTCATAAATCATCCATACTTACAATCATAAGGTGGTGTTAAAAAAAAAAAAAGAAACAAGAAGAGAGGGGTCCACACTCCACAGTGCTCTCTTAATTCAGCATGGCCTCTGGGCACAGATATTTGCACCAGCAGTATAAAGGACAGGCGTGCTTACCGTCCAGCTCAGGGCAATCCAGTTTCTCAGCATGCAAACAGGGCCAAGTCTCATCCCAATCCTTTACAGAATGCTACACACTTTTAACAATCGATGTGCCAGGGAACGTTTTCCTAAAAAGCTACAATGCCACCCTGTGTCAAAATAGCATATTGCTATTTAAAATATACAAAGACGGTTCCAGTCGACTGGCTTCTAGAAATGACAGTCACTGCCAGTGCCCGTGAAAGATCATCTTTGTCTCTGGAACACCCAATAGTAAGTCTAGACTAGAACGAACGTATAAATGCACATATAAGTGCCTTTAAGCCCCCTGGGTGATACGAAAGCTTTTCTTTTCCTTTGAAAGTTTTTCTTTCTTCCTTTACTTTTACTCGCTGTTCTCTCCCGGCCACTCTACTAGAAGCTATGAACAGTCAACTAGTTGTTTACTCATTTTAAAGATCAGCCTTAACAAGCATCTAATCCAGAATGGTAAACCCTATGATTTAAGCACTCTTGGGAGTCACAGTGAGGGTGACTGACTTTTAACATCAGATTATTAAAACACAGCTGATGAGAAACGTTTTCCAACCACAGTCAACCCAACTAAAATCAACTACGCTGCATTTTCATCACCACTGGCAGCCCTGAACCACAGAACTTCACCCACAAGAACTGTTCATCAGGAGTTCCCTAGGATTCTGTTTAATTTGTGACTAAATTCAAAACCTTTCATAGTGTAGGGTGTGAACTGAGCAGAGAACATAGAGATGGGTTACCTGGAGCAAAGTTTGTTGTTCCGAAGAACTTAATGGTCCCGACTCTCTGGCCTACCACCAAGACTCTATCTCCAAGGCGCAGTTCCCCACTGCGGGCGGTATTTGCTATACATGTTGCTGAGGAATTCAAACCTGTGGGGTTGGTGGAAGGGAAGTGGGAAAGGGAGATGAGGGGGAGGAGAGGAAAAGAAGAGAGGGGGAAAATGGGGAAAACAGAAACTCAAAAAAACGTGCATTAGCCAAAAAGAGCCATTCTGTATTCAGTCTCGTTAGTTGATTTCTCTACTTATTCATCTACAGAGATTTCTCACAGGGGACATAAGGTGACTCAAACCGAATCTGGAAGGGTTTCCTGAGCAAATTGTCATTGCTGTGGGAACTAAGGTGACAGGGTCCTGGGACAAGCTCTTCAGGCTTGCCTCGGGGTACTCCAGAGAGGCCAATAAGAGGGAGGTCGTGAATAGTTCCGGCTCTGAAAGCCACCAAACTCACCTGCTTGTCACAGAAGAGAAGCGAGGCCAACTTCAGTGTAACTTTATTCACAAAAACACATGGTAGAAAGTTGGATTTGGGCACAGACCAGTCCCTTGGTCTCTGAACAGACTAGGGTGATGGTAGTTCATGGGATGCAGTATGAATGACACAGGTTAGAGTGGGTTTGGAAGGCAATAGTGCTATAAGATTCCAAAGACCTCAACCTGGTTCCCTAATGACGAACAAACCCATTCCCCGCTCACTCTGATTTAAACCTAGACTCTGAAATGCTCACAGGTCCTAAAGAAATACTTTCTAGAAAGGGGTTCCGTTGGACCCAGAGCCTCTCCCATCAGTCCCTAAGCAGATCTGAAGAGCTGTTTCCTGGGAAGACCCAGAGAACCCTACACAGGACTTCTTCATCTTCTCCTATTTGTGACCCCCTTTGATTTGCTTGAGAAATTCCACATGGGCGGGTGTTGCCTGAAACACCTCAGACTCATGAATGGTTGAATTTGGGTTGACTTGTGGTTGTTGTGTGTTGGGAACCCTATAGCTGTTGCCACCTTTGTGCCCTTCTCCTACCCCCACAACCAGTAACCACTAAACAGTTGCAACCCATAGCGTAGGGTCAAAGGGAGAGAGCCCCCGGTGACACACACAGTGACATGGAAGGCAGCAGGGACAGGTCGTGGGGACTCGGGGTAAAGCACCGTCTCCTTTGTGTTAACTCTTCTCTGGGGCTCGTCATGGCTCACAAGGTATTTAGAACACAGTTTCCAGGTAAGACCTGGTATTCACAATTGGTGGGTGACACACCAAGATTAAAATGCAGATCCTGTGACCAGATCTGCTGACCGTCTGTCCCCATGCTGTCGGCGACAGTGGACAGTCACAGCAAGGTCACAGCAGGACCCAGGGAGGCTCCTCTCTGCCTCTCTCATTCCCCACACCATCCTTTCTGCTTTTTTTTCTCTTTTGCTCTTTATCCTAATGCCCCACTGCAGTGCTCTCTCTGTGCCTGGCTGCCTTCAATACATGTCTCTCAAAAGTGTAGACTATCTACTCAAACCAGCAAAGCATCTGTCATTAAAAAAATGTCTCTGGAGGGGAGAGAACAATAGGGAATGCCCTGCCACAGAGGCAAGGTGGGATGGGGGAATGGGGGGTGGGAGGGATACTGGGATCCATGGTGGTGGGAAATGGGCACTGGTGGAGGGATGGGTATTTGATCACTGTATAATTGAAACCCAAGCACAAAAATTTGTAAGTCTACAACTGTACCTCATGGTGTCTCACTAATAATTTTTTTTAAAAAAAAATGTCTCTGGAGGGGCTGGAGCAATAGTACAGCAGGTAGGGCGTTTACCTTGCACGCAACTGAACTTAGGTTCAATTCCCAGAATCCCATAGAGTCCCTTGAGCACTGCCAGGAGTAATTCCTGAGTGCAGAGCCAGGAGTAACCCCTGTGCATCGCTGGGTGTGATCCAAAAAATAAAAAATAAATAAATAAGAAATATCTCTGGCACTCCAGACATTCATTTTCTCACATGTACCTCCCATTCCCTCCCCCTCACCTTTCCACCCTCTTTCTCTTTCCTATTACGTGTACTCATTCCTCTCACCAATAAACAGTTTTAATATGCAGGCAGACGAACCTATTCCTAGTAAAGAGTAAACAAGGGCATCCCCACAGTTGCGTATATATTTTACAAGGTCACATCGAAGCTCAGTTCCCAAGAAGGGAGCCTGGAGTGTTTGTGAGAGGATAACAGTCACCTGGGTCATCACACAGCAGTGGGGAGACATGGAGACACTGGGAGCCATGGGCAGGGGAACCACACAGGAAATACACACTCTGGGGAAACCATTTCTGGCAGAACTCCTCATGCCTCAACCTTTGGGTGCCAACTACAAGCTTATCATGCCAACTGTGTGAATGAGGAACTGTTTCTTCTGACTCAGTGAAGTTTTTTAAAGAGAGAAAAGAACACTGGCGTGAATGTTTTCTCAATACAATTGTGGCCTCATATGAGATTTTAAGGCAACAGAGAAAGAACCTGGTCTTTGCTATAATGTCTACTGGGAACAATCTCTGCTGAAAGAGGCTCTTTCTCTTCCTGGACAAGCCTGAAGCACAGGTTCAGAGGCAAACTGCCACCCACTCAGCCCAGGTACGCTTCAACTCAAGTCTGATCACGGGCTTTCTCCAGCCTTCCATGTGACTGAATAGATAGAAAGATATACCGCAGGAGTCACAGCCCGTACGAAAGCTGGACCAGAAGTCGTCACTGACAAGATACCTAGGAGAATCTTGAAACTCTTCTCCTTGAAGGAACCATTACAACGATGATTGGAAGATAACTGTCTGAACACAGAGGCAGCTTGGGTGTCTGCACACGCGCGCGTGCGTGCGTGTGTGTGTGCGTGTGTGTGTGGTAGGCAGGGCAAGGAGTGGTAGGAGGGATACAGGGAATATTGGTGGTGGGAAATGTACATTGTTGGCAGGATAAGTGTTGGAACATTGCATACTAAAACCTGACCACAAAAGTTTTGTAACTATCTCAGTGATTCAATTAATTTTTTTAAAATTTTAAATAGAAAATAAAAAAAAAAGAAAAGAAAAGCATAGAAACTCTTCTCCTCAAGTTGCAAACAGTAACTTGGGGGCGGGGAGGTGATGGAAAAAGTAATCCCAGAGTAACAGCATTATGGGCGGGGTGCTTGCCTTACATGCGGCCACCCCGGGTTCAATCTCCAGGATCCCATGTGGTCCCCCACAAGCCCCACTAGGACTGATCCCTGAGGACAGAGCCAGGAGTAAGCCCCGATCACTGCTGGGCGTGCCCAAAAAACTGAAAAGAAAAAGCAATAAAGGAGAGAAGGAAAGGAATCACCTGCCAATTCAAATAATGCAGATGACATCAAGAGGCATAAATTCCCCTGCTTGATAGAGAAACAACAGGGAGCCATTTCTTAGGTCAAATGAAATGACAATAAATGTCAAGTCCAACGGGAGCGGCACAAGGAAGAGACCTCACAGCAGGTGCCACTGGAGCGGTCCTGAAACTGTGCACGGGCCCTGGGTCGGAGCAAAAGGATGGAAAAACTCTTCTCAGGAGGCTCCACAGTCCAGGGACCGACGGAGGTACCTGGAGCGCAAAGGGAAGAGGCAGCACCCATGAAACTCAAGCTAAACCCCAACTTTAGGAAGTTAGACTGTGCTGTGGCCCACGACGGGGGTAGATCTCCTGCAGCCCCAGGGTGAAGAGAGCACCTGCTCAGGGGGTTATTCTGAGATTAAATAAGGCCTGTACAATATCTTGACGAGTACCTGAAAGAATCAAGTATATAATACACATCACTACTGTAACTGTCACTGTCCTCCCATTGTTCATGGATTTGCTCGAGCGGGCCCAGTAATGTCTCCATTTTTGAGACTTGTTGTTTACTGTGTTTGGCATACTGAATACATCACAGGTAGCTTGCTAGGCTTTGCCGTGCAGGCAAGATACTCTCAGTAGCTTGCCGGGCTCTCCGAGAGGGGCAGAGGAATCGAACCTGGCTCGGCCGGGCTGGCTGCATGCAGGGCAAATGCCCTACCACTGTGCTATTGCTCCAGCCCATACATCACTACTACTAGCTTTATATTATAAGTGTCAATCATAGAGAAGACTTAACCTTATTGTTTCTAAAATGAACCTTAGAGGTGGCGGGGGAGGCATTAGACACTGGGTAAGAGGAGGTCACCCACACAATGGAAGGGCTGTGAACGCTGAACAGGGCAGAGATACGGGGCGGGGGTGCGGGGTGTTACCTTACACCAACTTATAAAGATGGGGGGCAAGGGGAGCGGGGGGGAGTGCAAGTACTTCAGTACAACTGAAGTAAATGGGGGGGGTGTCCTTCTACACATTTAAAAAGAGCAAATCTACTTACAAACAAACCAAGATAAAAACCACCAAGAAAGCCAGGTTGAAAAAGCCATAGATACCAGCACTGGCTCTAGAAGAAGTGGAAGAGCTTTTGCTCATTGTCTTCTTGTCATTGCCACTTGCATTCGGTTTCTTGGGGTGGCTCTGTTTGTGTTCCAGAGAAGACAGGGACGAGGAGCTGCTGAGGGATCCAAGCAGGGTGGCTAGAACAGGCAAATTGTGGAGAAGAGCAGAACAGACCAATCAGGCGCCTTGCTGGCTAAGTCCTTCAGAAAAGTCCCACTTAACTTTCTCAAACTCAGAGGAGATAATCCCAGGCAGTCTCACATGCTCTGCCTGGGGCCTCAAGAACTGCCGGGCATGGCCCAATTTTTTTTCTTTTAAATCTGAAACCGAGACACCAGACTTTATCCCAACATACCAACACTGGTACCAGCGCGATTTTACAACCCCAGCGAACATATTTCTAAAACTCCCACAGTCCACTGACGGTCTTCTGCACAGACATCATCAACTGCCTACATGTGCCCTCTCCTCTGTCACTTGAGATGATTAGTAGAATCCCACCAGACTTATGCAAAAATCATTGCCAACATGTTATAAGAAAACAATAGCTTGATACTGAGATGTTTCAGTTAACTGAGAACACTGCAAGCGAGAATACTGTTGAATTTTCTATTCATGCTCTCTCTAACCATCCAATGATTGACAGTGAAAGCAGTGAGGGGCAACTTGGAATATTTTTTATATAGCCCTAGTTGCGATGTGTCTTCCTTTTGGTCCCTCTTTTCATGCTCACCATCAGTCTGCTAATTTGAGTGTACATAAGGATCACAGTACAGGGTTTCATACAAAATGCCATGCACAGATTTTATTATCTGCTTACATGACTTTCAAGGGTAGTTTTCAGTCTAATGATTTTTCCCTTAACAATTTTACAACTTAAAAGCTCACATAAGCCATCTTTCTACATTATTCACATTTCATTGATACATTAAGTTGTGAGAACAGAAGCCATAGAGACTATTACCATCTTTCTCCGTTATAGTTTTCGATTCTTCACCAGGAGGCAACGGAAGTGTGGATTCCGAGGCGGCGCTATCTTTCTTTGATGTCACTAATCCTAGGAGGATATACAAACAAGGCTCTTTCAGCAAGGAAGAATTGTGTCTAATGTTAAGCATAACTCTGTATCTGCCTTTGAAAGTACAGGTATCCTTCATTACCTAAATCTTGCTCACTCCTGAAAACAAAGTGGGCAGCAAATTCACAGAGGACAGAGATTTCATTAGTCAAAGGGAAAAAAGAAGTTTTCATTGCCAGCCCATCTGAAAGAAATCCCAATTTCCCCAAGTATCACAAATCATCTTTTAAACCTACGTAACAATCTGCTAAGGAATTCTACATAGTAGAAGGCCTCGAGAAACCAGTTATCTGAATCTCTGATGCTGACGCATCACAGAGTTGGAACAGGAGGCAAGCAGGTACAGGAAATTCATCGACCTGAGATCTGACTGCACCCTCAGGAAAACGGGAGAACAGCAAACAGCCGATACAATCTCCCTAGTGTGGGGTAAATGATCCTGCAAGTCATTATAGCAACGACTCACTTAAAAGAGGGTCGATAGTCAGGAATTGTGAGCTCTCCACTGCTTTCTGTAGCTGACTACTCCCCTCCCACCAGCCCAACGCACTTACCAAAGAACAGTCTCTGCGAATAAATAACTCTTATTAAACCTGCCTCACCTGTAAGAACCTTTCTTTTCAGAGGACCCAACAGACCACACACACCCCATGTTAAGTTCCGTCACACATTCCTTTCATATCTACTCTCTCAGGAAAGCACCTGGGGTGAAGAGCTGAGCTTGGCACTCGGCATCACAGTCATGAACAAGGTGTCATCCAAGTCCTAAATGAGAACTTTCTGGATGCAGTGTGGCTGACATCAACATAAATAATAAAGACATGAGGACGTTTTTTAATATGAGCACTAGCCTGGGAGGAGGAGATAGGAGTTGTGGCTACGATATAAATTAATGCCTCGTTAGCAAGTTCACGTGCAAGATGGGTCTTGCTGAGCAGGTCAGATTTGTTCTGGTCAGAAAGAATGAAGGATACGGCGCCAGAACAACAATGGGTAGGGCACCTGTCTCGTACACGGCCCACTCAGGTTCAATCCCCGGCACCCGGAGTGCAGAACCAGGAGTAAGCCCTGAGCATCGCCAGCTGTGGCCCCCAAACCAAAGGGAAATACACAAGAATAGAAGATAGAATTTTTCTTTTAATCTTGGAGACAGAGAAGGATGAATAGTTTGCAATAAAAAGTTCTCTGAGGGTGTGGAGGAATACTGGAGAGGAAGGGCACAGTAAGATCTCAGAGGGTGATAGCAGCATCGGAGGGAATGATCTCATTAGCAAAGAACGAGCCTCTGATGGGCGCGGCAAACAACCGACGAGAAAAGAGCTAAAAGGGAACAGCCTTACAAGGAGATGTAGGTAATGTTAAAAATGCATATACAGGGAGTTTGTACAACGTATACTTTCCCTAGTCTTCTCCCAGTTGACAAAATTGCAGTATAGTTGAATTATGAGTCTCTGGACACAATCAGGAGTGAGTCACAGCTGCTATCCTAATATGGCACAATCCATCCCCGTCTGAGGATCCCAGCATCACTGTGCTATGTGTGTGCAGGTACACATTCATCACTTGGACCTTCTGTTTTTCTTCATTTTTTTGCTGAGTCTGTCTTTTGTCTCAAGAGTGACATTCACCCTTATACCTTAGCACATGACCATGATATAATCTTTAAAATCTTAATCCAATTAATCTCTGTGCGATCTTGGGATTCCCCTTGTGCTAGTCTTTCTCCTTGAAAGGTGGGTGATTTTTCCTGGTTATTCTATAGTTGGAAAAATTCTAGGGAGTAGCCATTTTTCCCATCTTATTTAAACACCGTGGTTTTTAAAGTTTTTCATGATGATTTGTTGCAGGCCTTCAATATTCCAACGCCAATCCCACCACCACTGTCACCTTCCCTCTCCCATTGTCTCCATTTTCCCAACCACCCTCAAGTCTGCCCCTTGTAAATGGGACTAAGTAGGCCCAGTATAATTTATTTCATATTCCTTGTTACCACTAAAGGGGTAATGGAATGATCAAAAAAATACTTCAGTAAAAGGAAATTTGTGAAAATTATTATATCTCACCAGGCTGGAGCAATAGCATAGCGGGTAGGGCGTTTGCCTTGCACGCAGCTGACCCGGGTTTGATTCCTCCGTCCCTCTCGAAGAGCCCAGCAAGCTACCGAGAGTATTCTACCCGCATGGCAAAGCCTGGCAAGCTACCCATGACATATCTGATATGCCAAAAACAGTAACAACAAGTCTCACAATGAGATGTTACTGGTGCCTGCTCGAGCAAACTGATGAACAACGGGAGGACACTGCTACGGTGCAGTTGTATCTCACCATGGGGACGTTAAGTCCTTGTCTGAGACTTTTCTAAGCTGTTGTTGCCAGTTAAGCCTTCAGTGTCAGTGTTTATGTCAGGCAAAATTAGGTGGCTTCTATGTTACACTCCCACCCAACCTGGTATGCTACTACTGGAATGTTAGTATTATAACGTTTGAAGATGTCACACGCCCACAAATGAGGCCGTGTGCTCCAGAAACTCCAGAATTGAGCAGTCCAGTCAGAGGTACGAAGACAGCTGCTGGGATGTGGGTGCAACTGCCAGGACTTTGGTAGGGTGAAAACAAGGCCTGCACTGCCTCCTGAGCTCACCTCAGAGGTCTAGGCTTGAACCAGGTGTCTGAGGAAGTCCTGGGGTAGCTTATAAGGTATACGCCTCATAAGCTTATACCTTTTTAAATGCAGCGTCATGGGACTTTCGATGTCCTATGGGGAATGGTGACTATTTTGTTTTGTTTTCTGGCCAGTCAACCGATGAAGATTCTGGCTGGAAGATCCCATAACCTGCTGTATCCTGGTGTTGCAATGTCAGTTCTGTGCCCAGGCCTTGGGGGGTCAGTCTCAGGTGCTGTCCTGCCCAGGGTCAGCGGGGAACCTGAGTCCTCCTCTCCCCAGAAGAGTCTAATCCCACAGCCTGCAGTCAGCTCCACGCACACACCCTGGGAGTTGACACCCAACATCCAGAGGTCACGGCTGGAGCTCTGACTTCTCTCTCTGATCCTTTCCTGCTCCAGGCACCTATCCTTGTTCCTGGGTAGAGGTTATAGAGCATTTCCCTGCTCTGTCACACAATAGCCAGAGACTGGATCAGCCTCTGGGGCTAAGTGGTGAAAGAAAAGAAGGAAAATGACTGGGAAGTCCATCCGTCCTCTTGGGGCCACTTCTCCTCTGGTCAGAAGACGAAGGTTGCCCTGCCCGGAAATGCATGGTGCTATCTTTGCTGCCACTACTCCTCACAGAACTGACCAGGAACTTGCTAGGTAGGACAAAAAGAGATTTGATTGTGTTTGTTTTAAAGTAAGGCATTTTCCCCACTTTCTAATATAAGATCCCTCTCCTATTCCTCAGATCAGGTGCAGATCTGAAATTTTTTACACAGCAGCTGTGTACTTCAGAGTTTTAGGTGAAAGAGATCCAACAACACCAAACTGTATGAAGGACTCTTTTTGGAACAGACCCAGGTACACAGGTACACAGTATCTACAGACAAAATTTTAAAATCTTGTTGAGATGTTTTTAAGAGCCTAATTAAATAGCACGATGTCCCAAGCTCATAATTAAAAGACTATTATAAAAATGTCAGTTCTTCCCACATTGATTTAAGGTTTAAATGCAATACCAATTAAAACTGCAATGGATATATTTTAAAGGAACTTAATAGCTTGTCCCCAAATTTACGGGGAAATGTGATTTGTAAGGGTCGAAGACAAGACACTGTCAAGAATTAAAGAGGTGGGGCCAGAGAGATAGACCAGCAGGCAGGTACTTGCCCTGGGTACAATCCTCAGCACCCCATATGGTCCCCAGAGCACCGCAAGAAATGAATCCTGAGCACAGAGCCAATAGTGAGCCCTGAGCACTGCCAGCTCTCTCTCTCTCTCTCTCTCTCTCTCTCTCTCTCTCTCTCTCTCTCTCTCTCTCTTTCTCTTTCTCTCTCTCTCTCTCTCACACACACACACACACAGACACACACACATACACACACACACCACACACACAAAAGAATTAAATAGATTACCATTCTAGACTGATTATCAAGAATCACCTTTTTAAAACTGAAGTAATCATAAAAGTACGGCACAGGGATATTCCAGTGGGACTGAGGAAAGGCAACCAACGCCTTGGGCAAAGTCCTTTCATCATGGTGGAAAGCCTTTTTGCTTTAGTTACTGATGAGTTTGCAAGCATTTGCTGAACATCTATTTTGTTCTATGTGTTACAACGAATGTAAAAATACAAGATATAGTCCGCGTAAAATTAAAAATATTGCTCAGAGAATAAAATATGTGCACAAATAAAACATTGACGAGAACAAACCCTCAACCAACTGAGTAACTACTGGGGGCTGCTGATGAAGAAATAAAAGTGACTCAAGGGAGTTCTCATGGGGAAACAGGACCTGAGTGCGCGATCAAGAACGGCTAGAGCCGAGATGGCAATAAAGGCCTTGTTCCTTCCTCCCTCAAAAAGCAGCAACTCAAGAACAAGACACTAGTAAGCTCCCCCTTTATACCTCAAAGACCTAGAGTCTGCATTAGAAGGCTGCTGAAAGAACCATGCATCTCTGTGAGGGGAGTGAATAGGGAAGAGTGAATATATCACTGGGCAGGGACAGAAAAGGTAACTCAACCAGAGAGCCCGGGGAGGGATGGCATCGAGGCCCATGTCCCTGGCACAGATGAGTGGCAAAGAAGCAGAAAGAAGTTCAGTGCTCCACAGGTCCAAAACCCCACATCCCCTCAGCACACCCCACCCCCAGAATCTGGATGGGCACCGACCCTGAGACCTCAAGGTAACATGGCATGAGGAGACAATGATGTTTCCGGAAACCACAGCAAGAAACATGGGGGAGGGGGGATTTTTGTTTGTTTTTCATTTGTTTGCTGTACCCAGCAGTGCTCGGGGCTTATTCCTGGCTCCGTGCTCAGGGATCATTCCTGACAGAGCTCAGGGGACCGTATGGAGTGCTGGGGATCAAACGTGGGTCAGCTACATACAAGGCAAAAGTGCCTTACCACTGTACCATCTCATCAGCCCCAGGATATGGGAGATTTTGACCTAATGATATTAAAATGGCACAAGATTCCTCGCGATAGCATGAGGAGAGATATATGCAAACTCAGAAAATCCATTCAGTGAGCTGAGGAATAAAATTAATGGTCAGAAGGAAGAGATGAGAGCTATTTTTAAAATACTTGGTGCTGGGGCTGGAGCGATAGTATAATGGGTAGGGCGTTTGCCTTGCACGTGGCCAACCCAGGTTTGATCCCCAGCATTCCATATGGTCCCCTGAGCACTGCCAGGAGTAATTCCTGAGTGCAAAGCCAGGAGTAACCCCTGAGCATTGCCGGGTGTGACCCAGAAAGAAAAAAAAAAACGCGGTGATGGAGAGAGAGCACACTGGTGACCAGAGAAGGGAGGGTCACACGGCACACCTGAAACCAATGCCACTTCGGACACTTCTAAGAGAGCAATGGCTAGGACCTCAAAAGGCAGATGCCAAATGATTGCACCCAGGGACCAGCAGGAGGGCAGGTGTGGGGGAAGAGGAGAAAAAGAAAGAGAGCACTGAAGGCAATGAGCTGTAACAAGTCCCCTCCACTTTCTTTATTTGGGGGAGGCTTTAGTGGGGGCTACACCCAGCTGTTCTCAGGGGTCACTCCTGGTTACATGGGCTAGAACAGGGTTAGCCAAGTGCTAGATAAACACTGTTAGTACCTGTCTGTTCCCCCATACCCCACCACTAGTCAGCTGTATTTTTTAAGCTTTGATCACAATAATATATATAGAGAGAGAGAGCTATATAGATACATATTTGTTTCTCATGGACATATGTCCAACACTGGAAGAGATGTCTTCAAGCACAGAAAAAGGACCCTCACTGCCAGTTTTAGGAACTAGAGACTTTTAAAAAAAAAGTCACTAAAACTCTGCATAGGACAAAAATATAAAGTTAGTCTTCTTGTGGGCTGGAGAGATACAGCCAGTAGGGTGCTCTCCTTACACCTGGCCAACCCAGGTTCCATCCCTGGGAACTGATACAGATCCTCCAGCCAGGCTCAGAGCACCACGAGGTGTGACCCAAAATTTTTTTTAAAGCTAGTTTTCTTGAACAAAGATTTATCGAGAGCATCAAATCTAGTATTAAGGTTCAACTGAGGGTGAAGGAAGATAGGTGGAAAGAAAAGGAACAAATATTTTTATAGGCATTAAAATATACATTCAAAATATAATGTATATTTTGTATACATTCAAATGTATACAAAATATACATTAAAATATACATGGGCTGGAGCGATAGCACAGCGGGTAGGGCGTTCGCCTTACACGCGGCCAACATGGCCGACCCGAGTTCGATTCCTCTGCCCTGCTCGGAGAGCCCGGCAAGCTACCGAGAGTATTCGATATGCCAGACACAGTAACAACGAAGTCTCCAATGGAGACGTTACTGGGCCCGCTCGAGCAAATCGACGATCAACGGGAGGGCCTTTACTTTACTTTTACTTTTTAAAATATACATGATGGTTCAATTAAAAGAAAATTTTTAATAAAAAATATAAAGTAATGTTAAGTAGCACTGTCCTCCCGCTGTTCATCGATTTGCTCCAGCGGGCACCAGTAACATCTCACAACATACTGTGAGACTTGTTGTTAATGTTAAGTAGATAATCAAAAAATAAATAAAAATATACACCAGAGGATGAAACAATAGTACTTGGAGAAGGTGCTTGCCTTGCACACCCCTGGCCTGGGTTCAATCCCCAGAACCCTGAGCATCCTGGGTGGGTGACCCATAAACAAACAAACAAAAAAACCATAAATCAGGATTGAGAAAGAAAGATAATTCAGGATGCAGGTTATAGGAAATCCTTGAGTTTTTTTCTTAGCTGATAAAATACAAGGAGCTGCACAAAGAACATGAGCAAACTCACGTGGTCGCCCCACTTCCTCATCTGACCTACCGGAGTTGACCTTGGATGTCACGTGGGCCACATCCACCTTCTGGGATCTGAGGAGAGGCACCGCTTTGGCGGAGGATGCGTGCAGGGTGCTCTTCCTTCTGTCTTTGGCTTTACTGATCTTTGACAGGGGTGCAAAAATGCCTGCGGGCGGCGATGAGAGAGTTCAGTCAGTGTGAAGCAATTAACAGCAGATCACAGGAAGGAGCATGCCCAACTCCTCAGGGACATACATTCTAGGGCATTTTTTTTTTTTATAATTAGTGAATCACCGTGAGGTACAGTTAAGGGCTTACAGACTTTCATGCTTGTGTTTCAGCCATACAATGATCGAGTACCTCATCCCTCCACCAGTGCCCATTTTCCACCACCAATGGTCCCAGGTAGGGCGTTTGCCTTGCACGCAGCCGACATGGCCGACCCGAGTTCGATTCCTCTGCCCCTCTCGGAGAGCCCGGCAAGCTACCGAGAGTATCCCGCCCGCATGGCAGAGCCTGGCAAGCTCCCCGTGACGTGTTCGATATGCCAAACACAGTAACAACAAAGTCTCCAGTGGAGATGTTACTGGGCCCGCTCGAGCAAATCGATGAACAACGGGAGGGCCTTTACCTTTTTTTAAAATCTTTTAATGATTTTAAGTTAAATTTTAATTTTTGCAGCCACTGTAAATAGGCAGCTCATACCTATTTGCCTGCCCACTACCCCACCTCGAGCATATCCCATATTGTCTGACTGCAAATTGCTAATGACCTGGCCTTCTCAGAAGATTCCATTTTATACAGAAAAAAGGCCTGCACATTCCTACTATATGCAGGACACTGTAATTATACCAGTGGAGGAAGACAGAGATAATTTAGCATCCAAATGGCCAAAGGAAATAAAACTGAAGAGTTGATCCACAGAAGTGAATTGCTCTGGGGGGTAGAGTGTTTGACAAAGACCTTGGTTTAGAAAGTGGATACTACGGTGGTGCAGGTGGTATTGGAATGATGCATGCAAAAATCTTCATTAATAGTACATCAATAAAAATGCTTATAGAAAAAATAAAAAATGTTTCAGGCAGTGAAAGATACAGTACAAATATGTGCAGACAGTAGAGGGAGTGAACAAGGATAATAAATACCAAGACAATCTGGCCTGCTACATTTAAAAAGACAAAATAAGGAGTATGTTAAGCTCTTCCCTTGAGAATTCACTCTCTAACAAAGATGCATGATAACTAAAATGCAATATATTTAGATGAGTGGTTTTACTATGTCTGTACGCAGAAATAATCAATTTTTATATTGTACATAATTTCATTGTTTTTCTTGGTGTAGTATTCATCCTATTTGTTAATAGCTAAAATGTGTCAACTACCTGACTTTTCTGTTGTTCCTTTTGCCTCTGAATCTTAACAATATTTTATCTTGATCACTCCATCATTTCAACTTATCCACAATAACCTTTTTTTTCTGTTGGACTATTTTCCTTGACAAACACACACAAACACACAAACACGCACGCACGATGAAGATTGTATCTTATGTTGCCAAGGTTTGAAGAAATAAATTATTTTTCCATAGAAATAAATATAATCTGAAAATGTAAATCTGTACAATCTTACTGGGAGACAAGTCTTGCCCAATTTAACTTTTAGGTATTAATTATAAGGAAAGATTTATACCTAAAGGAGTGCACAAAATTTTTAAGCCTATAGTTTATGATATACAGAGGTAGTTTCAAAACCTATTTCTAGGGGCTGGAGCGATAGCACAGCGGGTAGGGCATTTGCCTTGCATGCGGCCAACCCGGGTTCAATTCCCAGCGTCCCATATGGTCCCCTGAGCACCACCAGGAGTAATTCCTGAGTGCAAACCCAGGAGTAACCCCTGTGCATTGCTGGGTGTGACCCAAAAAGAAAAAAGAACCCTATTTCTAGTTTACAACTCTACCCCAATCACACTTGTGGAAATTAATAAAGGAGAAAAAGTCCAAATAGAAGTAAAGAGTTGTACCCCTGAAAAGTAATCACTGCAATATTATTCAGATTATCATTATTATTCAGAAGTAGGAGAAAATAGTTTGTCAATAGTATGAGTTGCTAATGGAATGAATTGCTAATTGGCATTTGGATGAATACCACACCAAGAAAAACAACAAAATTATGTATAATATAAAAAGTAAATCAATACAAATTAAGGAATATATTTTAGTTTAATGTGATTATATCTGTGAAAGAGTACAGTGAAAAAATTAAAAACTAAAATATATTCAGGAGCAAACTATAATTTTTTAATATTTTCAATTTTATATAATTTGGCAATGATTTTTTTCTTAATCTGAGGAAATTTCTATATTCTTTAATTCAGAAAAATACTCTGCTTTTTAAAAAAAGTTAAAAAAATAATTCTGTGGCATTCAAGTATCTCTAAAGTACATGAAAACTCATCTAAAGAGTTTTCATTCTTCTTGCTTTTCTTAAGCAAGTCACTTGGGAGAACTAAAACCAAATTTAAAGCAATAATACACAGTAACAAAGCAATAATGATACAATCAAACCCCAAATATGCACAAAATATGGGATAAACTTCCTACTCAGTAACTTAAGCCAAAGTACAGATAAGATTTTTTTCACATCTTGGCAGATAATTATAAGGTTTAAGTAATACTAAACATAAAAAATAATTATTTTAAATAGAATAGCAATAAATGTCCTGATAAACATGATCCATTTTGTCTAAACATAATTCTTCCCAAAACTCCATTACAATAATATGCCCTTAACATATGGATTTAATCCCAATTCCTCCCAAAATGCCACTAAAAATATTAACAAGTAATAAAAGTGATACAAAAATCTAAAAATTTTTTTTAGTTGGATTTGGGGCCACACCTGGTGATCCTAAGGGGCTAATCCTGGCTCTACATTCAGGAATTACTCCTGGAGTTCTAGGGAATCGTATGAGGCATCGCACCGCATGCAAGGCAAACACCCTACCTACTGTACTATCACTCCAGCCCCAAAAGTGACACAAACTCTAAACAAAAAGAAAGAAAGAGAGAGAGAGAGAGAATGACAAGAAGGAAAAGATTACTAAAAGCTCCAAAAAGGGGTTAAAATTTAAAAACCACCAGAAGACAAAGACAGTTCTAAATAGCAGGAAGAGAAGCTTAATTGCTTTTCCAAACTTTCACATTTTTCAACCTCCGTGATGTTTCCTATAATCAAGCTCCTTAAAAAAGATCAATCATACTATCTTTCTCTCTCTTGTTTTTTTTTCTTTTTTCTTTTTGTTTTTTGGGCCACACCCAGCAGTGCTTAGGGGTTACTCCTGGATCTGCACTCAGGAATCACTCCTGGTGGGCTCGAGGGACTACACGGGGTGGTGGGGATTGAACCCAGGTCATCTGCATGCAAGGCAAGTGTCCTACCCACTGAACTGTAGTTCCCACCCTATCATACTCTTGATACCTTCTCCCAACCATATTCCAAATAAAAGAATTAAGGATAGCCCCTTTATTCATTGTATAAGCAACCATGGAAAAGTTTTGTTTAAAAAAACAGCAAGACTGAAATAGTATCATCTTTAATTCATTCTGACACATTGGATCATCTGAATCTTACCATATTTGGGGGCACATTTGAAGTACTGGACTTTCCCAACACTTCCATTGTTTTTTCCTTCAGGTTCATCCAATTCGACGCCAGCCCACTGTCCACTAGCAAATTCAGTTGTTCCACAAAATCTTAATGTTCCAACCTAAGGAAAATACGAACCAGAACAACTTTAGAGTACTTAGAGTATTAACAAGTAATTCTAAAGATCCTATGCTTACGACTTTGTTTTGCCACAGGACTTCTTAAGAAACTATTTTCTAAAAGTAGACTTTTAAGACAAACAAAATTACCAGTGACAAAAATGAATGCACCTAATAACTGCGCTTCAAAATAGAGGAACTGAAAACTGATAGTGAGGGAAAGAACGGGCTTACTCACAATTGCACTGGCGACTCTAATCACGGACCAAGTAGACAGAAAACAAGTAAAACTGAGAACAGTGATATGCCAACTGGACCTGCTTTTTCAAATGAAAAATACTCCATTCAAAATAACAGAGCAAGTAGGAACAGAAATATGAAATGAACAGAAATAATAAATCCTGTTAAATATCTAACATGAAAAAACTAAGGCAAACTGTCAAATATTTGAAAATTCGTGCCTTTTTAAATCATCCATGGTGAAAAAATACAAGGGAAATTAGAAAATTTACTTTTCTAGTGAAGCAAAAAAAAAATTAGGAAGTATGAGGGAGAGGTGAAAAAAAGTGAGTGAGAAAGCAAGAGAAAGGGCAGATACCGCAGAGAGAGAGAGAAAGAGAGAAAGAAAGAGAGAGAGAGAGAGAGAGAGAGACGAGTGAAAGGGTAGAGTAAAAGAAAAAAATTACACACTGCAAGTTGGGATGCAGATAATTCCAGAGTGGATTACAACAAAATATGAAGTTGGTCTGCTTGTTTGTTTTGGGTTCCCACTCACCTGCCCGGTAGTGATCAGGGCTACTCCCTGAACATTGCTCAGGGATTCCTCACAGTTACTGGGGACCAAACCCAGGCTTTCTGCATGCGAAGCCTGAACCATCTCCCACTCATACTAATTAAGCAAAAAATATTTCCTGGGCCACTTCTGCTAGGAGGCCATGAAATATTAAGAGACTGTCAAGCAAGGTAAGTGCCCACCATTGCCTTGATACCAGACAAAAGCATGTCAAGGAAACTATAGACTAAAATCCCTTGTGAAGAAAGACACAATAATTTACAATAGATCAGAGAGATTGTGCAGGGGTTAAGTGCTTGCCTTGCATGCAGCCAATCCCAGTGTACTCCCTGGCACTTCATGGTCCCCTGAACACCACCAGGAGTGATCCTCGAGCACAGAGCTGGGAGAAGATCCCAAGCACTCTTGGGTGTGACCCAAAGTCCACCCCCAAATCCTCAAGAAAGCAATAGCAAATCTAACACAGTGGCACTTGAGAAGGATAATGCAGTGTGATCAAATGAGGTCTATCTTATGAATGCAAGGCTCATTCAGCATTTGAGAATATAAGTCAACATTTACAGACTAAAGGAGGGGCAGAAGACCTTGCTCTTAACATTTGCAGGAAAAGCTTCCCAACACCCTTTCAGGATAATAATTGTTTTTTACTCTCAGTGACTTAGGATTAGATGTGAATTTCTTCAATTTATAAAAAAAAATATCTAAAATCTATAGCGAACCATAATTATACATGATGATGAAAGAGCGTCTTCCCCTTGAGACAGAAAAAGAACAGAAATGTGGCTCTTACTACTTCCACTCATCATTACACTGGAGATCACAGGCAATGGATAAGGCAGTGGGGAGGGGAAAAAACATACAGTCTGCAGAGAAAGAAAACGACCTCTATTTGCAGACAAATGACTATTTGTGAAGGCTATCTCATGCATCCTCACCCCCAAAAAGATCAGTGAAACTACTAAGTTTAGCAAGACCAGTGTACAAAGTGTACATGATCAACATATTAAAAATAGGGGCTTGAGCAATAGCACAGCGGGTAGGGCGTTTGCCTTGCATGTGGCCGACCCGGGTTCGATTCCCAGCATCCCATATGGTCCCCTGAGCACCGCCAGGGGTAATTCCTAAGTGCAGAGCCAGGAGTAACCCCTGTGCATCACCGGGTGTGACCCAAAAAGCAAAAAAAGAAATAATTAATTAAATAATTAAAAATAAACTGAAATTTTATATGCTGGCAATGAGTAACTGGAAATGAAATTGAAATTTCAAAAATGTCACCATTTACAAGAGCATCAAAACTCTATGAAACACTTAGGAATAAGTCTAACAAAGTGTGTGCAATATCTCTATGCTTAAAACTATAAAGCTGTGGTAAAATAAGCCAGAGACCTATTACATATACATATATGGGTGTGTGTGTGTGTGTGTGTGTGTGTGTGTGTATGAATAAAATACAGTAAAACTCACCTCACCCCTTACTAAAGGGCCCAAGACCCTCCACCACTGTCCTTGTTAATTCCAAACCATATGCATCAATATTATTATAAACATCTGACTCAAACTATAATAATTCTTTTTCACGGGGATGGTGAGGGGAACCCTGAGACAGGAAAGGCGCTGACCCTGGGGAAGGGGGTGGAGCTGGAACACTGTATGCCTGAAACATGAGTAGTAACAGTATTGTAAATCACGGTGCCTGGGCCGGGAAATAAACATAATATATATTGTTCGAGCTTGAAACTGTTCCAATATTTTTGAGATGCCATTTTTCCTTAATCTGACCTGTTTAACACTCCATGCAAAATCCCAGCAGGATTTTATAAAAAATCTATAAAATGATTCTAAAATGACTATGTAGAGACAAAGAAACTAGAAAGAATTTAAAGGTCTAACAGATTGCGAGACTTACTCTAAAGCTTCAACTTCCTCACAGGATGTTACTAAAGGATAAAAAGGAGAATAACAGGGCAGACAAAAGTCTAGAAAAATGCCCAAAAACAACAAAAATAATGTAATAGCATATGCCAGAAAGAAGAATGATCTTTCTCCAAAATGGTGCTAGAAAAAAGATAACCCTGTTTATTTTTTTTAAAAAAAAAGAGCTAGAAATATTAAAATAAATTATATCTATAAATAATATCCTGTATAAAATTAAGTCAAGGGGGCAGAGATGTATCATAAAGCATTTGTCTTGCATGTAGTCCACCGAGGGTCAATCCCCAGCACCACACATGGCTGCCTGAGTACCACCAGGAATAATCCCTGAGCATAGATAGATCCAGGAGTAAGCCCTGAGCACAGCTGGGTGTAGGCCAAAACAAGCAAAAACATAACACAGAATTAAACGTAAAATCTAAAACTACGGGGACTGGGAGCAATAATAAAGCAGGCAGGGCATTTGCCTTGCACGCTGCCATCCTGGGTTTGATCCCTGGCACCAACATGGTGCCCCGAGCCAGTCAAAAGGGATCCCTGAGCACTGAGCCTTGAGCACTGCTGGGTATGACCCAAGAACAAACAAAATAATTCTTTTAAATCTAAAAACTATAAACTGAGGCCAGAGCGATAGTACAGGAGGTAGGGCACCTGCCTTGTATGCGGCCAGCCTGGGTTCGATACCTGGCACCCCATACGGTCCCCCAAGCACTGCCAAAATTGATCCCTGAATGCAGAGCCAGTGTAACCACTGAGCACTACTGGGTTTGGCCCCAAAATAAACAAACAAAAAAGGTAAAACGATAAACTTACAGAATAAAATGTAGGAGAAGTTTTCTTAGCTACCCTAAAAATGTCACTATCCTCTCATTGTTCGATTTGCTCGAGCAGGCACCAGTAACGTCTCACAACAAATTGTGAGACTTGTTGTTACTGTTTTTGGCATATTGAATACGTCATGGGGAGCTTGCCAGGCTATGCCGTGCAGGCAATATACTCTCAGTAGCTTGCCAGGCTTTCCGAGAGGGGCGGAGGAATGGAACCAGGGTCGGCCATGTCAGCCGCATGCAAGGCAAACACCTTACCCACTGTGCTATCCCTCCAGCCCATTCTAAAAATATTGCTCATAAAAAAGTTAATAAAGTATACTCCAACAAAATGTAAAATTTTTCATAGATGACTTTTGAGAATGGAAAGACCAGCAACATCCGAAGAGAAAACAAACATGGAATGGAACAAGAGTTTCCATGAGATGATAAAGTTAGACAGAACTCGAGCGGATTCATGCTTCTACTTTTGCATAACTTTAAAATATCCAAATAGGCCAGAGTGATAGTAATAGCACAGGGGGGAGAGCGTCTTCCTACACAGCCAACTGAGTTCGATCCCCACCATCCCATCATCCCCCGAGCACTACCAGGGGTAATGCCTGAGTGCAGAGCCAGGAGTCAGCCCTGAGCATCACAGGGTGTGATGCAGAAACAAACAAAACTTATCTGGCTGCATCCAAAAAAAGAAAAGAAAATTTCCACCCGTGACGTATTCAATATGCCAAAAATAGTAACAACAAGTCTCACAATGGAGATGTTACTAGTGCCCGCTCGAGTAAATCAATGAACAATGGGAGGACCGTGCTACAGGGCAGTGCTACCCAAACAAAAAGGAAAATCAAAGAATCTTACAACTGTTCTAAAAGCCCAAGCACAGGGCAGACATAGTAAAGATGACGAACGAATCTTGATCCTAAGCAAATAACATAAATCCTATGCATTCATCAGTTCTTGACATTAGTTTCACAGAGAGGGCAAGGGAGGAAGAAAAAGCCTTTTTGTTTGGGGACCTTGGGGGCCACATTCAGCAGTGGTAAATGTTGTTCTCAGTGGTATAGTTTGTGCCTTCATTTTAATACTTTCTGGGGCTGGAAAGATAGCAGAATGGGTAGGGCACTTCCATTGCAGAAAGCAAACCTGGGTTTGATCCCCTGCACTTCTTGCACAAGCAAACCTACGTTTGATTCCCTGCACAAGACCCCTTAGTCCTTCAATACAGGGGGAAACAGAGAGAGAGAGACAGAGAGAGACAGAGAGAGAGAGAATGGCATCCAGTGACACCAGGAGAAAAACCCTGACCATGAAGGAAAAGGCATTGGGCACATCTAGAGAAGGGCAGGAAGTCCTCATTTTATTATCACATTAAAATAGTACCTTCAGTAACTCTAGGTGTGTGTGTCCGTGGGGTCAGAGTGTGAAGCCGAACACCCAGAGAGGATGAGCATCTCCTTGCCCCGCTCCTGGGAGATCAGGCGAGATTGGGAGAAAACACCACTCCCCTGGGAGTGGGAGAAAATACCTCCCCAGAGAGTGACAGGGGGCAGGCAGCCAGGGAGACCCTCCCGGCTGGGTAACTTCTTTGGGGTCCCAAAACTCACACAGCAGATGCCTGCCACACTTCCCCATTCAGATCAAGAAGGCTTCATGGTTGTGCAAAGGCTACCTCTCAGGCAGGAGCAGCCCGGCATCCTGTGTCCCAGAAACACCTTCCTCCCCTACACACTAACACTTTCGAAACAAGACTCAAGAGTGATCAGAGGGCCCTTGTGTTGGCACACAAGGCCAGGGACATGGCTTCCAAGAGTGACGGACTACTGTTCACAATAGCCAGAATCTGGAAACAACCCAAGTGCTCGAGAACAGATGACTGGTTAAAGAAACTTTGGTACGTCTAAACAATGGAATACTATGCAGCTATTAGGAAAGACGAATCATAAAATTTGCTTATAAGTGGATGGTTCATGGAGAGTATCAGGCAGAATGAAAATGAGCCAGAAAGAGAGGGACAGACATAGAAGGACTGCACTCATTTGTGGAATACAAAGTAACATAATCTGAGACTGACACCCAAGGACAGACACAAGGGCGAGGAATCTTGCCCCACAGTTGGAAGCCTCTCTCATGAGCTGGGGGAGAAGGCAGCTGGCATAGAGAAGGGATCACTAAGACAATGATGGTTGGAGGAATTGTTTGGGATAGGAGATGTGTACTGAAAGTAGATAAAGGCCCAAACGCGATAGCCTCTCAGTATCTGTATTGCAAACCATAATGCCCAAAAGTAGAGAGAGAGTATGGGAGAAATTGTCTGCCGTGGAGGCAGGGGGAGGGTTGGGAAGGCAGGGATATACTAGGGACATTGGTGATGGACAATGTCCACTGGTGGAGCGATGGGTGTTTGATCATTGTAAGACTGAAACTCAAACGGGAAAGCTTTGTAACTCTCCCACCATGATTCAATTGAAAACAGACCAAAAAAAAAAAAGTAACGCACTGTACCTTCTGTCCTGCGATTACCACGCGATCCCCCAGCTTGAGGCCAAGCGACGTGAGCATGGCCTTGCTGGGGCCGCGGTCACTGCTGGGCAGCGTGAGTCTCGAGAGGTCCCAGGCCAGGGGTGCGGCGTCACACAGCATCTGCCTGATCTCCTTGGCAGTGGCGGCAGCATCGGCCATCTCCAAGGGCATCTCCACGGGGTCAGGGACCACATCGGCGGGGATCTGCCCTTTGTCATTCTATGAATCAAGAGAAGAAACTTCATTTCCTGTCCACTTAAGAGCTCTACCCAAGGGAGGGGGGGAATTGGCTGGGGGGAGGGGGGATTTTAAATGAATTCACCATCAACAATTTGTTTACAAATTCACAAAGTATCTACATATATACATATTTACATATTTGTATATTGGGCTGGAGCAATAGCACAGCGGTAGGGCGTTTGCCTTGTATGCGGCCTACCTGATCGACCCAAGTTTGATTCCTCCACTCCTCTCGGAGAGCCCGGCAAGCTACCGAGAGTATCTCGCCCGCTTGGCAAAGTCTGGCAAGCTCCCCATGACGTATTCGATATGCCAAACACAGTAACAAGTCTCAAAATGTTACTGGGCCCGCTCGAGCAAATCGATGAACAATGGGAGGACAGTGACAATGACATATTTGTACATATGAGCCTCCACAGTGCATCACACAACATTCCAGGTATGCTAGAGACAGAAGTCCTCCTGCCACAGCAGAGAACATGGTCTGCTGGGATAGGCAGACTAGAAACACAGGCTGGGAAATGCAGAGTCTACGGGCTCCATGTGAACCAGGGCAGGGAGGAGAAAGAGCACAGAGAACAGGGCCAGCACTGGGTGGACACAGAGTGGTCCAGGCGGATCTTGTGGCAAAATGCATCCACGTGGAGACCCAAAGGGATGAGGGATACTGGGTGGGTTAAGTTGGGGAAAGTTCCAGACTCCAGGAAGAGCAATGTGAAGGCGGGGAGTCACAGCTCAGCGGCTGCAGAGGCTAACAGAAGGCCAGCTCGGAGGCAGAAACCAGGGGACTTCCCCAGCCTGGAGGGGCAACCCCCCACTAACCCACAGGCCGCCCCGGGACGGCCACCCATCCTCGACCCCCAGGATGACTCCAATTCCAGGAACAGAAACTAGGCTTGATCCTTCGACTCCTGGGCTATGGTCAGGAACCCCGTCTGTTCCCACAACACAGGGGAGACTGTATGCGCTGGAATCTGCTCTGCAGGACGTTCAAACAGTCAGTGCTAAGTCCCCTGACATTTGTATGGTGTCCACAAAATCAAAGCATGGTTATGTCCATGGTCTCATTTGGTTCCTGTCATTGAGAACCAAACTGATTTGTGAATAAGACAGATCACAATGCTTACCCACTGAAAATTGATATGGTAGCCAGAGAGACGATGGCCACCAACCAAATAAAACAGGACTGACATTGGTTGTTTCCCAATTAACAAAAAGTCGTCAGGAAGAGATAAACGCGTGGCCCAGAGTCCCTTGTGCAGCTACTGCAGAGATGAGCACTAACCAACGCACTCCTGGGATGTGCTGAATCCCCCCTCTCCCGCCCCACTCCTCCCTCCCCCAGAAGTCTCTCACCTGTGCTTCCTAACCAGAAAACTTTACGATTATTTCCCTAGAACATCTTTTCATTGAAAAGCAGGGTTCTTTGCTGAGAAACATTTTCCCTTTTCTTCTGCACTGAGAATTAGCTTTAAATGATTCGTATCGGAAAAAAACAAGAACGCACTTCTAAAAGTTTGCAAATGACTCATATTTTGGAGAGGCGGGGTGGGGGGACACACATGTGTCCTTAAAATTCAAGTCCATCTGGTTCCAAGTGAAAATATGGTAGAGCCATAACGTGCATTATCAAATTTCTGGGATGGTGATGGATGGACTATGTTAATACCACATTTCAAAGATAAAAACACAAAATATAATGAAAATATGTACAGCACTTCTATAAACTAAAGGGGAGAGGATTTTTTTTAGATTTTATTTTATCAGAGCACTATGCTTTACAGAGTTATTCACCGCTGAGTTTTAGACACACAGAGTTCCAGCATCAGTCCTGCCACCAATGTTCACTTCCCTTCACCAGTGTCCCCTGCCTGCCATCCTGAAAGGCACCTTTTTAAGTTTGCTTGATAAAGCTTGAGTCTCGAGATTCCAGTATCACTGACTCTGTGGTTTGGATAATTAGCTCTATCACTCCTTAACACTGCTGATAAACCTAAATCCTAAAGGGGAGAGGGTTTTTTAAATTTTTATTAGTGAAACACCATGAGGTACAGTTGTAGACTTACAAATCTTTGTGCTTGGGTTTCAGTCAAACAATGATCAAGTACCCATCCCTCCACCAGTGCCCATTTCCCACCACCACGGGTCCCAGTATCCCTCCCACCCCCCACCCCCCCATCCCCCCCTGCCTCTGTGGCAGGGCATTCCCTGTTGTTCTCTCTCTCTCCTTTTGAGTGTTGTGGTTTGCAAAAGAGGCACTGAGTGGGAATCATGTTCGGTCCATAGTCTACTTTCAACATGCTTCTCCCATCCTGGGAGGATCCTCCCAACACCCTTTATTTGGTGCTCCCTTCTCTATCTGAGCTCCCCTTTCCCCTAGCATGTGTGACTGGCCTCTGGTTGTAAGTTACCGGTGCAATAAATATTTTACTTTGGATTTATACGTCCTCCCTTTCGAGGCTAAGTTCACTTGATCACTTTGATCACTTGACATCCCGTTATTCATTGGTTTGCTCAATAAACTTGTCACCTCCTGATAGATCAACCAGACTCAAGCTTAGCAAGGACATACTTCATTTGAGGGAAACAATGGAAGAAAGGGACTTAGTAGATATATACAGGACACTTCATCCACAAAAAGCTGAATACACATTCTTCTCAAGCGTACATGGAACATTCTCCAAGATAGACCACATGCTGAGCCACAAAACATGCCTCCATAAAATTAAGAAGGTAGAGATTGTATCAACAATCTTCTCAGACCATAATGCGCTGAAATTAGAAGTAAATCACACACAAAAACAGAAAACTAAATCAAACACCTGGAAATTAAACAGTGCACTATTGAACAACGAGTGGATTAGACAGGAAATCAAAGAGGAAATCAAAAGATTCCTAGAAACGAATGAAAATGAGAACACGAGTTACCAAAACTTATGGGACACAGCAAAGGCTGTGTTAAGAGGAAAGTTTATAGCTATACAAGCATTCCTCAGGAAGGAGGAGCGAGCACACATAAGTAACCTAACCTCACAGCTTAAGAGCTTGGAGAAGGACCAAAAAAAGGAGCACAACCCGAACAGGAGAAAGGAAATAATAAAACTCAGAGCAGAGATTAACGAGATGGAAACCCAAAAAACAATCCGAAAGATCAATGAAACCAAAAGCTGGTTCTTCGAGAAAATTAACAAGATCGATAAGCCTCTAGCAAAACTCACAAAGAAAGGGAGAGAGAAAACCCTAATAAACCGAATCAGAAATGAAAAGGGGGTCATTACAACAGAAACCACAGAAATTCAGAGGATCCTCAGGGAGTACTTTGAGAAGCTTTATGCCACGGAACATCAAAACCTCGAGGAAATGGATAAATTCCTAGACTCCTACAGACTCCCAAGGCTGAACCAAGAAGACCTGGAATACCTGAACAGACCTATCACCATCAAGGAAATTGAAATGGTAATAAAAAGTCTCCCCAAGCACAAAAGTCCTGGCCCGGATGGATTCACTAGTGAATTCTTCCAAATCTTTAAAGAGGACTTACTCCCAATGCTCTTTAAGCTTTTCCACGAAATTGAAATATCAAAAACACTTCCAAACAGTTTCTACGAAGCAAATATCACACTGATACCAAAAGCAGACAGAGATACCACAAAGAAAGAGAATTACAGGCCGATATCCCTGATGAACACAGATGCAAAGATCCTCAACAAACTACTAGCAAATAGAATCCAACTACTCATTAAAAAGATCATACACCATGACCAAGTAGGATTCATCCCAGGGATGCAAGGATGGTTTAACATTCGGAAATCCATCAACATAATCCACCATATCAACAAAAGAAAAGATAAAAAGCATATGATCATATCAATAGATGCAGAGAAAGCATTTGATAAGATCCAGCACCCCTTTATGATGAAAACCCTAGCCAAAATGGGTATAGAGGGGACCTTCCTCAACATAATTAAAGCCATCTACCACAAGCCTACAGCAAGCATCATCCTCAATGGGGAAAAACTGAGAGCCTTCCCTCTAAGATCAGGGACGAGACAGGGATGCCCACTCTCTCCACTGCTGTTCAATATAGTACTGGAAGTACTTGCAATAGCGATTAGGCAGGAAAAAGATATTAAGGGCATTCAGGTAGGAAAGGAAGAAATCAAGCTCTCACTATTCGCAGATGATATGATACTCTACTTAGAGAACCCAATAACTTCCACCAAAAAACTCCTAGAAACAATAGACTCGTATAGTAAAGTTGCAGGTTATAAAATCAATACCCAAAAGTCCATGGCTTTCCTATACGCAAACAGTGAGAGAGAAGAAAGCAACATGAAAAAAACAATCCCATTCACAATTGTGCCCCAGAAAATCAAGTACCTAGGAATCAGCTTAACTAAGGAAGTAAAGGACCTGTACAAAGAAAACTACAAAACGCTACTTCAGGAAATAAAAGAGGACATGAGGAAATGGAAAGATATCCCCTGCTCATGGGTTGGGAGACTTAACATTGTCAAAATGGCAATACTACCGAAAGCATTGTATAAATTCAATGCAATCCCTATAAGGATACCCATGACATTCTTCAAAGAAATGGAGCAAACACTCTTGAAATTTATATGGAACAATAAGCCCCCACGAATAGCTAAAGCAATTCTTGGGAAAAAGAAAATGGGAGGAATCAACCTCCCGAACTTCAAACTGTACTACAAAGTAGTAATAATTAAAACAGCATGGTACTGGAACAAAGGCAGAACTGCAGACCAATGGAACAGGGTTGAATACACTGACATCTCTCCTCAATCATATGCTCATCTAATCTTTGATAAAGGTGCAAGTAATGTGAAGTGGAGTAAGGAAAGCCTCTTTAATAAATTGTGTTGGCATCACTGGACGGCTACATGCAAAAAAATAGGCTCAGAACTCTGCCTAACACCATGTACAAAAGTAAGATCAAAATGGATTAAAGACCTCAACATCAGACCAGAAACCATAAGGTACATTGAAGATAAAGTTGGCAAAACCCTCCATGACATTGAAGCTAATGGTATCTTCAAAGATGCCACGCCACTGGCCGAGCAAGTGAAAACAGAGATAGATAAATGGGACTATCTTAAACTAAGAAGCTTCTGCACCTCCAAAGAAACAGTGACCAAAATACAAAGACAGTCTACAGAATGGGAAAGGATATTCACTGAATACACATCTGACAAGGGGTTGATATCCAGGATATACAAAATACTGGTTAAACTCCACAAGAAGAAAACATCCAACCCCATCCAAAAATGGGGCAATGAAATGAACAGAAACTTTCTCAAAGAAGAAATCCGAATGGCAAAAAGGCACATGAGAAAATGCTCTACATCATTAATCATCAGGGAGATGCAGATCAAAACCACAATGAGATACCATCTCACACCTCAGAGACTGGCCCACATTCAAAAGAACAAAAGCAACCGATGCTGGCGTGGATGTGGCGAGAAAGGGACACTCCTTCACTGTTGGTGGGAATGTCCACTGGTTCAGCCCTTCTGGAAAACAGTATGGACGATTCTCAAAAAATTAGAAATTGAGCTCCCATTTGACCCAGCAATACCACTCCTGGGAATATATCCCAGAGAGGCAAAAATGTATAGTCGAAGTGACATCTGCACTTGTTTGTTCATTGCAGCACTCTTTACAATAGCCAGAAACTGGAAGAAACCTGAATGCCCAAGAACAGATGACTGGTTAAAGAAACTTTGGTACATCTACACAATGGAGTACTATGTAGCTCTTAGAAAAGATGAAGTCATGAAATTTACATACAAGTGGTACAATATGGAAAGTATCATGCTAAGCGAAATGAGTCAGAAAGAGAGGGATAGACATAGAAAGATTGCATTCATCTGGGGGATATAAAGTAACAAAGTATGAGATTAATACCCAAGAATAGCTGAGATCAGCACCAGGAGGATTACTCCATAACTTAGAGGCCAGCCGGGTATCCTAGAGGAAAGGGCTGTCCAGATAGAGAAGGGAGCACCAAATAAAGGATGTTTGGAGGATCCTCCCAGGAGGGGAGATGCATGTGGAAAGTAGACTATGGACTGAACATGTTTGCCACTCAATGCCTCTTTTGCAGACCACAACACCCAAAAGGAGAGAGAGAACACAGGGGATTGCCCTGCCACAGAGACAGGGGGGATGGGGGGATGGGGTGGGAGGGATATTATCCATGGTGGTGGAAAATGGGCACTGGTGGAGGGATGGGTATCTGATCATTGTATAATTGAAACCAAAGCACAAAAAATTGTAAATCTACAACTTTAAAAAAAATAAAATAAAATAAAGGGAAAAAAAATTTAATTTCTATACAATTTAGCAACTAAAACTTCTGTTAAGAAAAATATTGGGGGTGAGGGGCAGTTGCAGAGAGAGAGTACGGTAGGTAGGGCACTTGCCTTGTTTGCCGTCAACCAGGGCCCCATCCCTGGCACACCATAAGGGAAACCAAGCACTGTCAGGAGTAAGTCCTGGGTATGTCCCCAAAGCAAAAATAAACCAAACAAAAGAAAAATACTAGGACTGGAGAGAAAAGGAGCTTACCCAGCCCGTGGCTGCATCTGTGACCCCTGTTTGAATCCTGACATCCACATGTCACCCCGGGTACCACATATGTTCTCCCAGGCATTACCAGGTGTGGCCCCTTAGCACAGAGCCAGGAGTGGTCCCTAAACACTATTTGGAGATGCCCTTCTCCGCAGAAATTAACTCCATACAAAAGAAAAATATTTAATAATAATATATTGTGTTATTATTAATGCCGTGCTAACATAAGATGGCACTTTGGCCATTAAATACGAAAATTCCATTTTCTTGTAAAATAGCAGTTATCAGAGCAGGATCCAAGGGCTACTCTTGCTTATATGTTAAGCACTCTTTTTAAAACTCTTAACCTTGTTCTTATTTCTGACCTGAATTGGGAACTTAACCCAAAGGCAGACCTACCTCACTGATCTTACTAAATTTAAAATATTCTCTCCATTTCTTGATGGAGAGGGATTTTTTTTCCTTGTAAAGTTTACCAGTGCTTTATACATGTTTGCTATTAATTGGGACTGATTAAAGAAACTTTTGTACCTAGACACTATGGAGTATTACTAAGCCATGAGAAAAAAAAAATAAAGTCAAGCAATTTGCTACTGTACGGAGCGACCTAGAGAGTGCCCTGCCGAGTGAAGTCAGCAGAGGAACAGAGACCGACACAGAATGATCTCTCTCTTATGCAGGATATAAAGAAACAGAAAGGAGGAATAACGAATACCCAAAGACAATAGGGGAAAAAATGTGAGAACTGGCATTCAGTGGGAAACATGCCATTTCGAGGGAGACTGAGGGATTGATTGGACAGTGAAGAGGCAACATCAATGGTGGAGGAATGCATTCGCCCGGGAGGCAGCAGTGGTGCTGAAAGGTGGTGAGATGTTTGCTATGAAACCCTCTCAGCACAGTGAAAAAAAAAAAATCACCTCTTGTAGAAGCAGATTGGTGGATGGGGAAAAAAATGGAGGTGGGAACATTGGTGGGGGGGATCCCTCTGGTGAAGGGATCAGTGTTGAAACATTGGGTGCCTGAAACCTAATCATGAATCACTGTATCACCCATTGTTCATCAATTTGCTCTAGCAGGTGCCAGTAATGATTCCATTCATCCCAGCCCTGAGATTTTACCAGCCTCTCCCTACTCGTCCTTCCCAACGCTGCGATATTGGAGGCTCTTTTAGGGTCAGGGAAATGAGCACCGTTATTATTACTGTTTTTGGCATATCGAATACACCACGGGTAGTTTGCCAGGCTCTGCCGTGCAGGCACGATACCCTCAGTAGCTTGCCGGGCTCTTGTGGGGGGGGCGGGGGTGATAATGAATGACTTTGTTAATCATGAATAACTTTGTAATTTCATGGGTGGCAAAAAGAAAAAAATTTTTAAAAATTCAAATAGCAAAAAAATTCTCTCCTCATGGGGTTTTGTCAGTGAGTTTTCCAAAACAGTGCCAATCACCATTGCCATCCAGGCAAATGAACAATCACCCCGTATGTGTGTTCTTCCTTCTGTTCTCGCCTGCTTCTTACACCTGGTCATTCTCACCTATGTTTAAGCAGCCAACATCACTCTTGCCAGGAAACCATCCCAGGGCTCAGACAGACGGTCCTCCTGTGGAACCCCCATGGCATTCTATGCCCCCCCCCCCCAATAATAACACACTGACATGAATACAGGAGAGAAAACCTGCCTGCTTCCTAGTCAATCTTCCCTCCCAGAGTACATGACAACAAAGGCTTTTAATTTGTTGTAGGGGTAGGGGGTAGGGCCATGTAGGGTAGGAGAACATAGGGTGGGGTAGGAGACAGTAGGGAAGGGTACAGCAGGGTGGAGTAGGGTGGGTTGGAAAGAGAAAAGGAAAGGAAGGATGGAAAGGAGGATGAACTAATCCATGAGGTTAAACAGAAAGAGAAGTGCCAGAGAAGGGAAGAAGGAGAAACAAGAAAGGGAAAGGAAAGGAGGGAGAGAAGGATGGAAATGGTTTGATCAAACATGCTCCCGGCCCCTTCAAGAGAAAGAAGCGACCCGATTAGAGGTGCCTGGTATCAGACAAGGAAGAAAAGAGGGGGGGGGGTCTCTTTTGCAAAGGAAACAAGATAGTAAGGGACTCAAAGATTATGAAGCAATCTTTATATATCGGTAGTGTTACCATAAAGACTTTTTCATTTTTTTCTTTAATTTGCAAAGGTTTAGTTCACTCTTACATGTGCAATTTTTTTATATTAAAAAATTTTTTTAATAGTGAGACATCATGAGGTACAGTTGCAGACTTACACATTTTTGTGGTTGAGTTTCAATTATACAATGATCAACTACCCATCCCTCCACCAGTGCCCATTTCCCACCACCACGGATCCCTACATGTGCAATTTTTAAACTACAATAGTTAAAAAAAGTTTTCCA